TTGGACGATAGGACGGTAGGCCCCTTGGCCAAAGTTTTGAGGAATTTGACTGTCCGTACCATGTGGGGAGCGGCGAGATAGTCGCACGGCTTGTCATCTTGTACAATAAGGATACCCATGTCGCGAAGTTTTCGCTGCGACCTGTTAGTTCGGCCATCTGAAAGGAACTCAAGTGACTTACCCTCTCTGTATCCTCCCTGGACTTGGCGTTAACCCATCTCGTGAAGCCCGTAAGCACAATCCTCATCTCCACGTCTGGACGTAATGATTTCCGCTTCTTGGAAGGCCTTGAATCTTCATCCTCCTCATCATCCACATCCATTGCCTGTGCTGGGCTCGATGTCCGGCCTCTTTCCCTGTCAATTTGATCGGCAGCGCGTTTACCGCCCCACGGACCTTGTTTGTCCTTGCTGCGCTTCTTCTCCTTTTCGTACAACGCAATATCGGGAGCGATGCGCTGTAGGTTGGTCAAAGCCTTGCTCTTGGCGCTTCGGCCTCCAGTCGACATTTCTGAGGGTGTATCATTCTCCTTTCCGCGGCTGCCTTTCTTAGGGCGTATAGGCGTCATGAAACTATCATCGATGGCCTCTTCGCTCTTGTCCTCTTGTCTGCCTATCACAACCCCCTCGGCGGGCCCATGCAAGTATGAGTTCTCCTGTGCAGCCTCGAGAATCTTGCGCTTCCTCGTCGCTTGGGGCGACAACCCCTCTTCACCACCGGGGTAGTAGGTTTCTCGCAAGCAATACTCGTCGAAGAAGGTTTGACCAATCACTTCACCCAGATTCGTGCGCACTGGAAAGTGAGAATACTTGGGGACCGTAACCCTCTGCATCTCACACTTGGCGTAGCTCTCTTCGATCCACAGGTGGTTGACCGCCTCGATGTTCCAGTCCTTGGCCGCCTCGTATTTCTCACTGCTGCTCCTTGCAGTGATGAGGTGTGTGTTCTCGGCCTTCATCGTCTTGGTGTATGTGGCACCAGTCGCCTTGATCAGATTTTCAAGGTATATGCGAGCGTCACCGCCGTAGTTGGAGAGACAGATCTTGAGACCTTCAAAGCCAGGGATGCCGTTCTTGGGAACTGGGTAGTGGAGTAGACGGCGAAGCGGTGACGTCCATTCATTGTGCGTTATGAGGTGGTAAAGCCACGAGAGATTACCAATGTCCTTTCCTGACTGCGCAGCCTTGACGTACTGTTCGCCGTCACGATACTGGCAAATAAAGTAGTCGCAATCGTCAACATCGTCGACTACCTTGCCACCACCATTGTTAATGAGTTGCTTGACAACTTCCAGCGATCGTGGGGTAATGCTGAGGTCCTTTGAAAGCATGACTTCCTTGTCCCGGAATATCGTGGCTGGTTTTCGCGGGCCATCACTGAGGTAGTTGGGGCTTGTTGAGGTTGCTCCGTTGAGCTGGTCGTATGTGGGAATTTGCACCTCGCTTTGATTCTCGTCGCGGCGAAGGATTTCGGGATCGGGGAGCAGATAAGGGGCTTCAGGTATACGTTTGCCTAGCCTGAAGCAGTCTTCGAACCTAGGGTATGGGTGAGAAGTGGCTCGAAGCACCAGGACGCTCCAGACTTACCAGTGGGGTAGAACGATCTTGCAATTGAGGCCTTTCTCTTCGGCGATGACGCACTTTGGATCTTCCGTAGTCAGAGCGCAGATATGTGTGGTCTGTCGTGTGACGTCGGCGCCTTCCATGCCGCCCATGGCCAGCGTAGCACCAATAATTGTCTCCTTGTCGATTTCAGGCAGACCGGCAGTTGTAAGGATGACCTTGGAAAAGAACATGCGCGGATCGGGAGAATAAGGCCGGACCTGTGCCTGTTTCTTCCTCTTGACTGACGCCTTGATCCAGTCGGTATTGACGACTGGGATCATGAAGGCTTGGGTTTCGGTGAACTGGGGAAAGTCGATGGTGTTGGAGATGATTTGGGAAACGGCCTCGAGCCTGAGGGAGCCATCGCGTCTGGGGTCGAGAACCGTTCCGCCACGACCCTCCACGATGCCAGCGTACTCGCTGATTTCTTTGGGAGCCAGGTGGGCACTCGGTACGAAGGCGAAGGTACATTCTGCGAACAAGCCTTTTGCCTGTTCAGCCATGGTGGGCGATCGGGTGAGGCATGCAGTTGGGAAGAGCTAAAGAGCTGAAGAGCTGGCGGGCGTCGAATTCGAGGTCAGGACATACGTAGGGCGATTTTTGAGGTGTGCCGTCGAAGTGATGTTTGCGCAGAAAGAGACAATTAGGAAAGATGAAGGCGATTTTGACGCGAAATTGTTAGCGACGCGGCCGGGTGGAGGACGCGAGGTGAGCTCGCCGTCACGTCTAGCTATCTGGCAAGGTACAATCATTTGTGTGGTCCCTGCAGTGCTGAAAAAGTATCGATACTTTGTCCATTAAAAGCGCGATTGGGACGCGTCCAGGGAAGCATCCGCCAACCAGCTGGCCGTTTGACACACATCCGCCACAAGCCGCCCATCAAAGGGCAGTGACATTCTTTCCCCCCAAATAAACTGCAACCTTAATGCAACTACGATGACATTTGACACCATGGATGATGTTCCTGCAGAAGAAAAGAAAAAAAAGTCTCATTGCCAAAGATGGTCTTTCGAGATAGCTGGTATCCTTGCATCCAAACTCAATTACTGCGCTCTTAACGTCATGATCCCTGGTTTCATCTCATTCATTGCCATGGAAACTTCCTACTTAGACATACGACCCGAAGCTATAAACCTCTTTTCGTTACAGATGGCACCTACAGACTCGCCTTGATCAAATCGGCAGCCCGCTCGGCGATGCCATAGACTGTCGCCTGAGGGTTGGCACGCACTGTAATGGGCACAATGGAAGCATCAGCCACCCGCAAGCCACGGATCCCATGCACCCGGAGCTTCTCATCTACCACTCCGCCAAGCTCCCGAGGCATCATGGAGCAAGTGCCCGTGAAATGATGAGCGCCAACTGCCGTCTTACGCGCGAACTCTTTGGCTTCCTCGAGATCTGTCAGAGCGTTGGCGGGGTTGCGCTTTCCGCTCGGCTTCAGCTGACTTCGGAGCGGCTCGCTTGTGGCGATCTTCTCCAGGAGCTGAATATGTCTGGCCAGGACCTCGACGTCGAATGGGTGCGATAGGTACGCTGGGTCGATGGCGACTGCGGGCGAATCAAGGGACGCAGAAGTGATGTGGCTTGACCCTCGCGACAGTGGATGAGCGAGGAGCAGCGCTATCGTGAAGTACTTCTCGTCGCCAGGCGGCGGTGCTGCCATAGTCCCGTCTCCGCTGAACAATGCAAATCCAGGCAACGATAGGTAGTACCCCGAGGGTTCCGAGGACGACGTCAGGACGGACCGCACGTATGCCTCGAGGGCCTTTGTGAACTCTGGCGTCGCACTCGTTTTGGGGCCGCTCAAGTTGTCAAGAAGCTGGGTAACATCCTCGCCAGCGGGCAAAGGAAGCTGTGCAGTTGCTACAGTGCCGCTTCTTGAGAACGGCCCAGTGCCCTTACCATACGCCTCCATCGCAGCTCCAACAGCGGCCGGCTCCTGACGAATAATTCCATCTATGGTGTCGAGCTCTGGAAGGGCCTCAAAGCTTGCGCCGACCATGACGTGGTTCTGCAGGTTTTCGCCGACGTGCGGGTTATCCAGAACGACTTCGATGCCGAGTGTACGAAGAAGCTCTCCGTTACCAACGCCGGAGAGCTCAAGGATTCGTGGCGAGTTGAGAGTGCCAGCAGTCAACACAACCTCTTTCTGTGCTGTTGCTGTTGTTGTCTCGCCATCCTTGGTGTATTGAACGCCGTCGGCAACAATCTCGCCAGCATCGGACTTGAAGACGATCTTCTCTACCAGAGCTCCGGTCACAACTGTCAAGTTGGACCTAGACTTTGCTGACTGTAGATACGCGCTGCCCGCGTAACTTCTCTGCTTGGTCTCCGGGTCTATAGTGTCCGGCGTGAGACTGCTGCCGACTCCTTGCCCACTCAAGGGGTCGCAAGAGTCCGGGAAGCCCAGACTGCGAATAGTGTCTTGCCAGATCTTGGGCCAGAATGACTCCGCGTTGTCCGGCAGAGACAGCTTCAGTGGCCCTGTACCTTCACCAGAAGCGATGGAATAGGCCTTCTTGGAGGCTTCATTGAACGTAGGCCAGTCCCAGCCAGGATTGCCCAAGCTGGCCCATGCCTCGACGTTGGACCGTGTGGTGATAGTAAAGGAGAGGCCATTGAGGGCACCTGAGCCACCAAGGAGACGACCTTGGGGAACAGCAATCTCACGACCACCTAGGCCATCCTGCAAGCGATTCACTATCAGTAAAGCGGACTCCCAAAAAAGCAGCAGCTGGTCTCAGAAATACTCACTTGGGGTACCGTTCGGAACTGCCAGTCAGAGGGCGTTTTGACAAGACTGGGACCCAGTGCGGGAATATTGACTCGAGGGTCTGCCGTTTGGTCTTCGCCCGCTTCGAGCACCAGGACCTGGACATCTGGGATCTCAGACAGACGAGTGGCAACTACTAAGCCGGCGACGCCGCCACCCACGATGATGAAGTCGTATTTCGCAGCCATTTTGAGACAGTATGATGAGTAACGCAACACGAGTGATTCTGCAAAAGCGAAAGACTTCGTTGGAACTTTGGCCGCTGTTAAATCATGGCAAGTTTCCGAGCCCGAGACGTCTAAGGTCATGTAGGATTGCGGCAAAGCATTAGTCGCCGTAGCGCCGAGCGCTCATCCGGCATCTCCCCCGCGGGCGGCCGTATTGCGCCAACATACGACACTGAGCCGGCCAACCGTTTCTGGTACCGTTCAAGCAGGTTCCACTACAGGGTTGCATCCTTACGACTTTGTTTCTGCATCAGGGGTATGACAGTTTGGGACGCAGACCCTCTCACTTGCCTGGACCCCCGGTCAACGACTGTCAAGGGAGAACCTGGTCGGTATCCGGATATCAAGGTTATCGGGATGCCCCATGATCACCACGGCACGACACTCAACTATGTACCTTTGATCAACGAGTACAATCTCTATGACAATATGGAAGATGTTGTGATGCGTGCTGGATTACATCCCAGTTATTGGACACTAGTCAGTTTCTGTGGCATGCTGTTACCCCTCAGGTAACTCACGACAGATTGTCGAGGGATAGGCTGGACCCAGCCATAGCACTAGGCATCATGTCGGGTTTCGATGACTGCTTGACTGGCGGAGCTTTATCGACTCCGAGCTCAGGTCGAGTTATCGGTGGCAGACTTCAAGAGAGAGCGCCTCGAGCTTGTTCGAATTGACCAAGTGCAACTCACAAACTTCACCATGAGTGTTCTTCTTGATTCTAGTTACCAAACCGCCCTGGTCTACGGCCTTGGGCTCCTTTGCGGCGTTGCCGTTCATTGGGGCATCTTCATTCACGGAGAATGGCATGTCCAGGCTCCTCAGATTGCTCTGGGTCATTTGTGGCTCTTCTTTTGTTCCGCGGCTCTCAGCTATTACTACAAGGGCTCAACTGTTGGTGATCTATGCCATTCAGTCTTGATACTATTCGCCGGCTATCTGCCTGGACTTTTCACCAGTATCACACTCTACAGACTCTACTTTCATCGGTTGACAACTGCTGGTTTCAAGGGCCCGTGGTACGCCCGGGTCACCAAGCTGTGGCACGTCTGGGCCTGCAGAAACTGCAAGAATCACCTGCTCTTGGAGGATTTACATGAGCAGTATGGAGACTTCGTGAGAACAGGTAAGTGGTCATTCAAAACAATCTTCTTGAAATATACACTTACTGGTAAGCTAGGACCCAGTGAAATCACTGTCTTCCACCCAGGAGTCTTCATGGCTGTAGATGGTCCCCGGTCTGAATGCATCAAGTCTGAGTGGTACGACATTCTGCACCCCGATCGTGCGCTTGTCACGACACGCATCAAGCCAATTCATGCTGCCAGACGTCGTGAATGGAACCGTGGGTTCTCGGCACAAGGTATGACCCCATAGATCTTCGGAATCATGAGCCTATCTCTAACGTGCCGTCCCGTACTACAGCCCTTGTTCAACACGAGTCAAAGATTCTCAAGTATATTGAGCAGCTGGACGTCTGCATCGAGGCGGATGCCAAAGCGCATGTTGCTTCGGAAGTACGGAACCTGTTCTTTTGGTTTGGCTTTGATGTCATGGGAGACTTTGTCTTTAGCAAGTCGTTTGACATGCTGCACCAGCAGCAGTGGCACCATATCATTATACGGCTGCAGCGTGCCCTTTCGCTGCTTGGACCGTTCAGCCCTGCTCCATGGCTCATCCAAGTCGGCTTCAAGCTGGGACCGCGTATCAACGTACTCAAGGACTGGTTTGACATGGTCGCCTGGTGCGAGCGGCAGATGCGTGTCAGACTTGATGACGGGACTCCTAAGCCAGCCGTCCCTGATCTGGCCTACTACTTGATGGAGCTGAATGACGGCCAGACTGAGCTCAAGGATCGGTTGCCATGGCTTTATGGCGATAGCTTGCTGGCAATTGTTGCTGGAAGGCATGTTAATCTCTCCAACCTCGTGGGCGAACACCGACTGACAAATGTACAGTGAGCCGACGGCTGCTGCCTTGATTGGTATCTTCTGCGAGTTGGCTAAGCACCCTGAGCACGCCGACAAGGTCTATGAAGAATTGAAAGACGTCGACGCTACCAACCTCAAGACTCTCACGAGCCTCCCGCACCTCAACGCTGTCATCAACGAAGGTCTCCGCTTGTACCCAGCCCTCCTCACCGGCGGGGCCAGGAAAACCACGGAGAACGGGGCCACGATCGGTGGGACTTTCATCCCGCCAGACACGACAATCATTGCCCCGCGTCACGTTATATCCCGAAGTAAGCAAATCAACGGGGTGGTTTCTTGTCAGTTCTCAGCTCACATGTTATCTACAGGGGAGGACTGCTTCGAGCGGGCCAACGAGTTCATTCCTGAGCGATGGAGTACGCGGCCAGAGATGATCCGCAATCTTGCAGCTTTTGCGCCATTTGGAACAGGTATGGCGACCTTTGTTCTTCCTCTGCTATCTGGTTTACCTTGATCGACTAACCCATTTACAGGTCACCATAGCTGTCTTGGTCGTTTCCTGGCCACTGACACTATGCGATTCGTTGTTGCTAGACTTGTGAAGAAGTATCACTTCCGCCTCGCCCCGGGAGAGACGGGCAACCGCGTCTTCGACGACGTTAGGGACCAGTTCACCTCTAATCCGGGTCCCCTGTCACTGTGTTTCGAGTTGAGGTGATCATACTAAGTTTAGACAATATACTATGTAGTCACTTAGAGTTTAGCCAAGGTACCAAGAAGCAAATCGTATCATTCTTTTCCAATGTTGAGATCTTGATTATTCATACGTAAGAGCATTTGCTGTATTGGGCTATCTCTGGGCGAACACGGCGAACAAGTCAACAACCCATGAGGTTGCTATCGTCTACTCCGGAACTATCTCAAGCAAGGCTGGTGTATGGCCACCCGTTGATACCGCTGGTCAGCAGCTGGCCGGATTGGATCGCGCCGGTACCCTTTTTGAGCTCTTCAACGTCCCAGTTGGCCCAAACAGTACGGCCGTTCAGGAACGCGGCTTCGGGACTTGCCAGCCACACCGTGAAGTGGGCAGGGAGTTGGACTGCAAGCCAGCGCGCGGGAGGATGTCAGCACCTTGTTCGGCCCGCTAGAGCTGCAACGGGAAGGACAAGCAGGGGGGGTTGAAGAGGGGGAGGGAGGGAGTGGAAGGGGAGCCGGGACGGAGAGGGAAATCTGGGCAGATGGGTGGACAGGGGAGGAAAGGGGAGGAAAGCACAACGGAACTGCACCTTTATCCATGGGGAGCGCCTCGGCCTTGGCGCCACTCTTGGTGAAGATGTCGGTCTCGACCATGCCCGGGTGAAGGGTCACCGCGGAGATGTTCGGGTTTTCCGCCGCTAGGAACTCGATGATTTTCGTTTGGGCTAGCTTGGACGCCATGTAGGCGGACAGACCAGGCAGGGCGACTGCCGGCAACGCCGTTGTGCCGGTGGTGAGTGCGACGATGGACGCATGCGAAGGGTTCGCCGTGGGGAGGAACACCTTGCTGACGAGGTATGTTCCTTTGGTGTTTGTCTGTACATGGTGTAAGTGCTCGGGCCCTCTCGCTCACTTTCACCCTCACTCCCTCTCTCTCACTCTCACTATTCACTTGTGGAGAGAGAGAGAGAGAGAGAGTTGTTTTCCGTCAAGGGGTAGTCTGATTTACCTCAAAACTCTGCCACCAGTCATCGGTAGCCGACCCCGCGACGGGCGACGGCTTGGACACATAGCCAGAAGACAAAACAAGAATGTCCCACTTGCCGATCGCGGCTGCCACCTTGATCAACGTCTGTTCGTCCGTGATGTCCACGGCGTGAACATCACTCTGCACAAACGACGGCAAGGAGGCGGCCGTCTCGGCTATGGCGGCCTCTGTGCGGCCCAGGAGACTGACTCGAGCGGCCCCGGCAGCAGCAAAGGCCAGGGCGGTCTCTCGGCCGATTCCACTACCCTATTCGAGAGAGAGGACAAAGCGTCAATAGAGAGATTCCTAGGTAAGTAAGGTATCCGTACGGATATATGCGGATACAGAACTGGCGCGATATAGAGTTGTGAAGGGGGGAGGGGGTGAACAGCTCCGATCTTTTCGGATCAAGGCCGGGCATGTTCGGAGGCGAGAGGTCATCACAGAGGGGCCGTGGATGGGGGAGGGGGCTGGGTGAGGGTCGATGTTCACAACCAGGGGAAGAGAAAAGAAAATGGATTTCGTGGAACTTACCGCGCCTGCCACGATGACCGTCTTCCCCGCCGCGCTGAGCTCCGGGCGGGAGGGCGAGATAGCCTCGTAGGTATCGTTGCGCCATGTCGGCGTGACGGAGGGCAGAGGGGGTTGCATCTTGACTTTTTTGAGCGATATTGGATTGGGATGCCGCGAAAAAGGAAACGTTCGAGCCGAGAACGGGAATATGTAGCGTCAGCCTCGGAAGTGGCGAGACAATAGATTTCAGCGAGGCCAGAGAGCGATATGGAAGTATGAATAGATTGAGGGAAGCGTGGCGTAAGTAACGGGAATACCAGAAGCAGTCTCGAGCCATCGCGAGCTAGGTCCTGTCTTTTTATCCCCCCCCCCCTCTCTCCCTCATTGAGCTGAGCTAAGACTTCCAAAGTTCGGGTCTTTGGTCACAAACTCCGTGATGTGCAGCGTTGCGGCGCAGCTCGCCCCTTCGAAGACACCATAGCCCTGACCAACCGGTTGGTTGGATGGACGGCGATGTTGCCTGCTCAGCATCTCTTGGAGGATGCAGATAGCTGACCGGTATCCGTAAACAAGTTACCAAGGAGCGACGGGCGTTGTTCTCCACCGACAACTCGGGGACTTTGGTGAAACCTGAGATTGAGCAACGAACTGACACCTGTATCTTGCATCATTACCGGAAGAGGGATAAACGTAAGTCTCGTTGCAACACCACCATGGCCGTCAAGGTAAGGCAAGGCATGCACGCTTCCCCCCTAGTAGAAGGTGCAGACAACCCCCGTGGTGGGAAGCATTGTATCCAAACGGGACAACAAATGCGCGGCGCGGCGGCGGGTGCTTTGCTGAAGACTGTCTTTGTCTTTCACATGGTTGCTTTTGTGGTTTGTGTGGGACTCGGTCTGCTATGTATGGCCCGTTGACAAGGGTCTCTGAAAGTTTGATATATCCACTTGCAGAAACTCCACTTTGAAACTCCCCCCATACCTCGAGACTCTTGAATAGACTGGGGAACGGTTGACCCCTGCAATTCAAAATGGTAGAGCGGAGAGGTCAAGTCTTCTTAGAGTCCCCTCATACCATGGGGAGGGGGGGACCCTCGTTAGACCGGACAAAGACTTTGGGACTGGTAACTTGGCAACCCCTTGAGGGTTGATGAGGCTGTGGAGTTTCTCTATCACGTACATGACGGATTCCCGATCACATCTGAGAAGAGAACAGTCATGTGGGAAGAGTATGGTTCCCTATCGATATTACCCACACGTGCAGCAACACAAGGCGGGTGGTTGGTCCTAAAACACGACGACTGTCACGAACCATTGCCTAATTACTATTCAACTATCGCTTGCTGCAAGCCTGCAGAGGAACCGGAAAGTGGTGAGTGTCAGAGTGTGAGTGGGGGGGGATGGGATGAAAGAATGCAGTATCATGCAAGCGCAGAACCCTCTTACTGATTCATGTCATCCCATCTTGTCTTCCCTTTGATCAGATGAGCAGAAGCCTCGCCCAGTTGGCTTATTATCGAGTGGGTGGCATGCATGAGGAGGAGCCGAAGAGGGAGGGAAGCATGGTTCGGCAAAGTAGTGCAAAGTGCATTCTGTCATACTTACAAGGCCATCTCTCACTCTCATTATCAAACTAGTATCAAAGTGGCCGGCAGACACACCAATAAGCTGGGAACTACCGCAGAGTAGGGTGACATCGACTTGTGTCTCATCGTCTAGTTCACCCTTTCGTCCACTTCTTTTTTGGGGTTTCCTGGCCGTGATTGATAGACGCGAGAACCACGTTTCGTCTTTGTGGGATGAGAGCAAGAGAGAGTGTGTCCATGAGAGAGTGTGTCTGTCTGTAAGAGAGGGCAAGGCAGGGTGGCGGCGTGGCCACCCGGCGGCTTCTTGATGCGATGAGCGTCGTTCCCGCACCCCCCATAAGAGATGAAGGCATCCCCCGCGCGTGCTGTGCCGCGAGGGCGGATGTCTATCGAGCTGGTATCCGGAAACTCTCTCTCTCTCATTGCTTGTTGGCATCCGAAGCTAAGGCAGTAGACCAACTGACTGGGCCCAATCGCATTACACACTTTGGAGAGCAGAAACACATTCGCTCATCATGCCTGGCCCTGGATCAAGAGGCATTGGCCTCCTAGTATGGATTGTTGTCTTTACCGTTGTCGATGCCTCGTTTCTATGTCTGCGAGCTTGGTCAGCGAGGGTGATGAGAAGATCCTTTTACTGGGATGATGGAATGATCATATTTGCATTTGTAAGTCCATCACTCCTATCTTCTCTCATACAGAACTGACAGTCATAGGCCAACATCGTTGCGCTAGAAGGTGTCGTCATCTGGGCCATTTACAATGGCTTGGGCAAACACACTAATGAATTGACTCTGGACGAGTATGCTGTCCAGTTCAAGGCAAGCTATATGCCCCGTTTCAACTGCTGACTTCATCTAACACATGCTTTTCACAGCTCATTCTAGCTAGTGGTGTCACATGGCTTCTAGGAACCGTCTTCATCAAGATGGCCATCCTTTGGCTATACACTAGAATCTTTTCCACGGCAAAGTTCAAGCGCTGGTCTCACATCCTCATGGGCGTGACGGGCGCCTACGGTGTCGCGTTCCTCATTCTGTTCATGAGCAGATGTACGCCCATGTCGCAGCAGTGGGCGCCGGTCGAAGGTGGTCACTGCCGCGACATCACTGTCGACCAGCTCGTCTCGGTGACCATCAACATCGTCGTCGACATTGCCATGACCGCACTGCCGATGCCGGCGCTATGGGGTCTCCAGATGCCCCTTAGGAACAAGATTGCCGTCAGCGCCATGTTTGGCATGGGCTTTGCGTAAGTTGTCGTCTTCTTCATAGACCGAGACAGTAGTAGCTAACTTTTACTTCGCAGAACAATCGCAATCATGATTTGGCGTCTCGTCAACACAGTCACCACCATCGGCGACCTCGACTTTGTCTACAACCTCCACGACATCGGCCTCGTCAGTCTTCTCGAGCTCTGGATCGGTATCATCATCGCCTGCCTGCCGACCCTCGGCCCCCTCTTCAAGACCTACGTCAAGCCAGCCGTCTCCAAGTTCGGCTCCAAGCTCACGAACCCGTCAACGGACAAGGGCGGCCAAATTAAACTCAAAGACCTGACGAGCAGCAGCGGCGGCCACAGCATCCGCCACCCCCGTCGGACGTACGACAAGCTGGGCGATAATACCTCCGTTGTGGACCTTGAGCGCGCCGAGCTCACGACAAAGTGCCAGTTTTCCCCGGGAGCCGAGGCGCCCAGGGGCAGCAGGCCGGTCATCTACGTTCATCAGGACATTGCGTCGCAGGAGACTTGGAAGCGAGGGGCGCAGGCTCAAGCCGGGGACGGGGGTTATGGAAGGGAACGGGGAGTTACGGCCGATGGATGAAATTTATTCGAGATAGGAGATATGTACACTTCTTGACGTACCATTATCATTATACTTTGTAACTATATAGTGTTTTAATTTTGTCTTCACTTATCACAATATTTCCTCATGAATCACTAAAGGAAACATATCAACATTCCCTTTTCTATTTTGAAGTTAAGCAGTCCCGGGAGCGTCTCACACATAGTGCTTGCATCTGCAGACATCGTACACACTCTGAAGAGACTTCCGGGAGATTTTCCAATAAATCAAGGCATCTCAATTACTTGCAGCCAGACCTCCCTGGGAGTCCGTGTCGATCACTCTCTCTCGGAAAGCGGCACGCCTGACTCTTACTCGCCCAGAAACGCCCAGACAGCGGTCCTGACCAAAGACATGGGAATTCTGGGAACCCATGAGAAAGGCAGAGTTGGGATGACAACAACGATGACCCAACTCTACGGCGAGGGAAGGGGGGCGGGCAATCTGTCTACACTGTCTGCCATACGCCGAGCCCCATCCCGCCGGTAGTGGGCAGGCAAGTTCATCAAAAACGAAGACAAGACAGACCCTCTTCGTGTTCACTGGCCGGCTACTGGTTCCGCAAGGAAGAAGCTTTTGGTTCTCACGCCTTTTAGAGTTACACATGTGGGGACAAACTGGAGTCAGGTCGGATAAGGTAATGGGAACTCACAGATGACGTTCGTGAGCTTTTTTTTTTCTCAGAGTTTACATCCGAGCACCTTGCGAGAACGACTGGGACCCAAGTAAGGTAGACGTATCCACATAAAAGTGTATCTGCCTCTTTAATATAACGTTGAACTCTCATTCGCTCCGTGATAAATACACGTGAGTATCTTGAGACTTGGAAAATGGGTCGAGGTGCAATCAACTTGCACTGCTTTCACTGCTTTCACTGCTTTCACTGCTTTCACTGCTTTCACTGCGACATCAACGTAGCACCACCAGTTCCCGATCTCTTATGGAATCACAAGAGTCTGGATCGAAACCTGTGTGTCACTATCCAGCATCCAGTGTCCGCGTACCGGTGGACAGTGGACAGTGGAACTCAAGGGCACAAACCAAGAATTGGCATCTTTTAGACTTTCACGATGCAGGTCGTCTCCTTCCGGTTACCAGTTTTTACTCCCCCCAGCCCAGCGCAGCCCAGCGCAAATACTACGACTCTTAAACGGAAACCGCTTCAGGAAACGTTTCCTTGAGGGATCCCTTGCTTTCAACTCGACTTCTGCTTCAAACACCGGCCTCTGGTTGGTTTCGCGACCTCTCCGTGACTGCGTCTGCGATCCGCGGATGTGATTCAATATCGCGCGAGGTATATCGCTCACCGGAGCCGGGTATGATAGTTCAGGGGTCGCTACATATTGCATATGTATTGCCTGCCGTTCAAGTCACAGCATGTAGCCTGGTTTCTCTCCGCAAGATCCCTTCAAAGACTCCTCCCAAGGCTCCGAGGCTGTCGGTCTTGACAGGCGTCTTGACATGACAGGGGCAGCTCCAAGTATCGCTTAACAATTTAGACATTCGTCGATAGAGGCAAATCCAGACTGGAAGTTGGGGGCAATGTGTTGTCAAAGGTGGATGAATCTGAATCATGAAAGCGGTGTATGCGTTTCGCTACGAGGCCTCTAACCCGAGGCCGACGATGTTGTTGATTATGTCGACGCTCGGCGGGCCTTTATCAATGCGCCATGATCGCCCCCTTTTTTGATATCGGGAGATTTCAAAGAGGGTCTCTCTGTGTCCTCTTGTACTTCAAACCGAAGGTGTCAAACCAGACTGTCGGATCTCAGCTCTCCAGTACCTTCTTCATCTCCTTTTCCCTCCTAGACGCCAGGTTCGTCAGCAGACCGCAGGACGGGAAAGCCATCATCATGCAGCATTCAGCAAGCCTCGGGGAGAATTCCCCCCTCACGCTCAAACACGCCTCGTTTGAAGACGAGGTCACGTCGAGCAGCAACAAGTCCTCCTCGTCCTCCACTTTCACCGAGGTCCTCCGTATACCTCGTCTGATCTGGGACTTTACCGAGAGCAACTTTGCCACATTCGTCGTCCCCAACACGGCCTTCGGCCTCCTGGGCGGACTCACCGGCGCGCCCCTGACCTCGGGCCACGCAGCCACGCTCTCCATCATTCACCGCTTCCCTCTGGTGGTGGCCTTCAACTGGTACAGCGTCCTCATCTTCGACCTGGCCAACCAGAGGGGGCCCGAATCCGTGGCCGAGGACCTCGCGAACAAGCCTTGGCGTCCCATACCGGCGGGCAAAGTGACGTCCGAGCAGACTCGCAAGGCCATGCTCGTGGCCATCCCCGCCGTGCTGGCCCTGAACTATGTTCTGGACGTCTGGAAGGAGGGCGTCTTCATCCTGATCTTGACGTGGCTGTACAACGACCTCCGCGGGGGCGACGAGCTCGTCCGGGACGCCATTATCGCCGTTGCCTACTTCCTCTTCAACACGGCCTCTCTCAAGATTGCCATCAGCGGCGGGGCAGCAGCAGGGGCGGCCGACGACGTACACGCACACGTACCCATCACCATCACCATCGAAGGGTACGCGTGGGCGGCCATCATCAGCGCGGCCATCCTGACGACGATGCAGGTGCAGGACCTCAAAGACCAGGCCGGCGACCGCGGACGAGGCCGCGCGACGGTGCCCCTATTCTTTGGCGACAGGGTCTCGCGCGTCTCGCTCGCGGTGCTGGTCCCCTTCTGGTCGTGCGTGTGCGTCTACGTCTGGCACATCCGGTCGTCGTGGGCGGTGCTGCTGCCCACGCTGTCCGGCGCCATGGTCGTCGCGGCGGTGCTGCGGACGCGGACCCCGGAAACGGACGCCAGAGCGTGGAAGCTGTGGTGCCTGTGGACGGTCTGTCTGTATTCCCTGCCCCTCGTCGGTGACGGTTTCGTGTCGTTGGCGTCACACGTGGAATGAAAGGGGAGCCGGGATGCTGGATCATGGGGGATGGACATTACCTGCAGTTTACGGATACAGTTACAGGTAACAGAACAAATTGTCATTATTGTGTATGCAGAGTTCCGTTTGGAGTTGGTTGTTGGAAACTTGGGAACCCTTGGAGGCTGTACGAGTCATTCGGAAGATAAGTGACAGCCGTACGGAGTGTTCGTAGAGCACCGCTTCGGCTAAGAGTCGGCAGATGGACTGGGAAGAGTTGCTACTATCTAGTACCCTTTAATCCTTGATGTGCGTGATTCTTTTGAAGTTGGACAAGGATCATGAGTCAAGCGCTGGCAGGGAGCGGGCCGCGGGGAGCCAGGATTGCAAGCGCGGCGCCAGGGGCGTCATTGACTTTTTGCGTGTGTTTTCTAAGTAGGCTACACTAGTACGGATAGATGAACCGTTGAAGCTCTAAACGTAGCCGTAAGTAGTAAACGGTGGTAAAAGACGCCGAGTAGATCAGGAAATTGACTCGCCGAAACTTCAAAGAAACTAGGAAAACCGCGCAGCGGGAGGATCACTTGGCTGCCTCCCCCCCTCCTTCGTTAGCTAGTGTCGTTGGTAACTAGTCGATCATCGTGGAGAGTTGTCTTTCGACTCAACTGATTACTGATTACTTAGTTGGTTTCGTCTTCGTTAACTTCCGAGGTAACAAGGTACTCAAGAAGGGTGTTGTTGCACGAGGCTGTCTTCGGCCGGACCATTGGTTTCCGTCCGGGCTCGGGTGGCGTCCGTCAACCCGGAAGACCCGGGATACACCCTCCACGGTCCCCTCCACGGTACCATTGCTGCGCAGTGCCCACCTTTGCAGGTCCTTGTAAGTTGTAACCGCACATGTTGGATGAACGGTTGACACTTGATAGGCATTAGTTCCAGTACCGCCTTCATGGTTGCGGGCGGCCGACCTCTGTGGTCTGTAGTCTGCTGAATGCGGTTTGCTGTGCAGAACTGCAGGGCGTCGTTCGTTTCCACGGGGAAACTCCCCCCCTGCCCAGAGTCCCCCAGACATCTGCGCGTGTGTTAGTCAGTTTAGTGCGGCTTCTTTGCTGCTAACCCCAAGACAGAGAGATCATGGATGACGACGGCTCATCCTTGCTTGCCAGCAACCGTTCGTGCCAGGGACAACCCCTAGATGAGAATACCGGCGATACTACCTGCCTATATTAGCTTTACATGAGTTGTGCTTGGAATTGTCAACCGTCTCGCCAAGTTCCAATAAACGCGTGATTGGTCCCCGCAACTCGAGATGGAGACTGGAGTTTACCTGTAGGCGTTGGCCTTTCCGGAAGGTTGACGTTGAGGTATATTCCCATTCCCCCTCACCTTCGGAGCCATCCATCGACTCGAGCTCGTGGCCCCAGCCGCCCCTTGAGGCTTCGAAGGGGGACGTCGGGGGGACACGCGGCAACCTGTTCCATTTTGTCCCATTCTGTCCAATCTTTCCACCGATTCTCATGGCCCTCCCGGCCCTTCTCGAGTTCTCGCAGGGTGAAGAGTCAGGCACATGCTTGATTCACCGTTCGGGGGCCCTATCTTCTCAATAGCTTAGAGGTTTTCTTCCCACAACTGCTCGCGTGGGCAGCTAGTATTCGTGGGTCATTGTAGTCAATATTGGCATGGGTGGTAATCAAACTATCGTCAGCTTTCTGGCTGTAACCGGCAGTCTCATTTCGTGTTGTTGATGCCTCTTCGTTCCGTCGTTCGTGACCTGCCTGTTAAATATGTAGCATCGAAGCCTGGTGTTGCATCGTGAGAGAGGTTTCTTTCTTTCCTCACCTCCAACCTCCAGTCACTCTTTCACACCCTCCCTCCCTCTCCCCTCACTTTGCCTTACAGCAAGTGATTGTAACTCTCGTTTTCCAAGATGGTGTCTCTCCTCAGCTTGCTCACCCTCGCGCCCGCGGCGGTCTCGGCCTTCTCCATCGGCCGGCCAGGACCGGGCGCCGGCATCCGTCCCGGAAGCCCGTTCGGTCACGACATCGCACAGAGAGCCACGGACTGCCGCTGCTTCCCCGGCGAAGAATGCTGGCCCACGGCAGCCGAGTGGTCCGCCTTCAACACAACAGTCGGAGGCCGCCTCATCGCCACAATCCCCATCGGCGCCGTCTGCCACGACAGCACCTTTGGCGCCTACGACGAGGCCAAGTGCACCGCCCTCCAGAACAGCTGGTCCGCCTCCGAGACACACATCCAGACCTCGTCGTCCGTCATGGCCGCCTTCTTCGCCAACCAGAGCTGCGACCCCTTCCTCGCCCAGACGGACCGCTGCATCATCGGCACCTACGTCCAGTACGCCGTCAAGGCCGCCAGCGCCGACGACTACGCAAAGACGATCCGCTTCGCCCAGGACTACAACGTTCGCCTCGTCATCCGTAACACGGGACACGACTACCTTGGAAAGTCCAGTGGTGCCGGTGCCCTCGCGCTCTGGACGCACCACCTCAAGGACATCAGCGTGCTCGACTACAAGTCCACGGCTTACACAGGCAAGGCGCTCAAGCTCGGCGCCGGCGTCCAGGCCGGCGAAGCCCAGTCCGCAGCGCACGCCCAGGGACTCGTCGTCGTGGGCGGTAACAGCCCGACCGTCGGTATCGCAGGAGGCTACACGCAGGGCGGCGGCCACGGGCCCCTCGTCTCAAAGTACGGTCTCGCCGCTGACCAGGTTCTCGAGTGGGAGGTCGTCACCTCTGGCGGCAAGACGCTCGTCGCGACCCCGACCTCCAACTCGGATCTGTACTGGGCGCTTTCCGGTGGCGGTGGCGGCGTGTACGCGGCCGTCTTGTCCATGACTGTCAAGGCTTACGCCGACACCATTGTCTCGTCGGCGAACCTGACCTTCACCAACTCTGGCGTCACGGACGACGTGTTTTACGGCGCGGTCACGACCTACCTTAAGACCCTCCCGGATATCGTCGACGCCGGTGCCGTTAGCATCTGGCTCCTCGCTTCGGGCATGTTCCAGATGCAGCCTACTACTCTTCCCAACAAGACCAAGGAGGAGCTCCAGGTTCTACTGCAGCCTACTCTCGACGCTCTCGATACCGCCGGCATCACCTATGGTAAGTGCAGTCTACAGACTGAAGTTGAGAGAGAAGAAAGTCACTAACACGTGCCGCCAGACTACCACATTGGCCAGTACGCCAACTTCCTGGACAGCTACAACGACATGAACCCGGAGCCTGCCGTGACCGAGTTCAACATTGGCGGCCGCCTCATGCCCCGCTCCCTCGTCGCCGATGATGCCTCCGCCGCCAGCCTCATGGACGCGATCAAGAGCATCCTGAACAACGGCGGCATCATCTCAGGCCTCACCATCAACGTCGCCCGCGCCGCCAACGCCGTCGCCAACTCGGTCAATCCGGCCTGGCGCACCGCCCTGTTCTCAGCTGTTGTCGGAACGTAAGTCTTGTCTCCCAATCTTGCCTCCCCCTGTGGACGGCTTCACTAACACACAACTGCAGCGCCTACAGCCGCTCCGACTTCTCCACTCTCGTCTCGGGCCAGACCACGGTCACGGACACGCTCATCCCGGCGCTCAAGGCGCTGACGCCCGGCGGCGGCGCGTACCTCAACGAGGCAGACCGCAACGAGGTCGACTTCCAGTCCACGTTCTACGGCACCGACAACTACGCCAAGCTCAAGGCGATCAAGAAGCTCTACGACCCTTGCAGCACGTTCTACGCCCTCACGGGTGTCGGCAGCGATGATTGGGAGGTGCAGGGCGATGGTCGTCTCTGCAAGGCCGCGTGAGTGTACGCGATGAGATGAGAAGATGGTGCAGACGTTGGGAGAAAAGGAGGCACTTACTTTATTACTTTGACTTGTCGCGTTTTCTTCACTTTAATACCAATATGAATTCGTTCAGTGCCTCAAAACTTGGCTGGCTCTTTTGTTGTTCAAGTGAGATGAAGTGAAATGAAGTGAAATGAAGTGAGGTGAGACGTTTCAACCAAGTCACATTGGTGAATCCTCAAGCTAATTATCAACCAATCACGTGTGGCAGGTAAGACGGATTGAGCAATACATTTGGCGAAGCAACTAAGCCAATCAAATCTTCTTCAGCCCCCCAGCGTGGTTTTTGTTTGTTTGTTTGTTTGTTATATTTAACGCCGTGGCGGCAAGGGCGCAGCCGCCCTTGCGGCCGACCTCCCGAAGGGTATATGGCGTGGAGAGCCGTCGCCCTATAACTATTGCTAGATACAGTTCAAATCGTCCTCCAAATCGTGCCTTATGGCTACTATGCGTTCTATCTGTCCCTGGTTCCCGCTGGTGCCCCAGTTCCATTCTTGAATTTTGCGGCTTAAGGCCGGATATGTCTGGAGAGGGCGGCCTGCCGAAACAGGCCCCTCGTACATGTTCTGATTTGTACAAGACCAGCGTGGTTTGATCAGCAGCAACTCGCTTATGAACCCTAATTGTGCTGGCATCGAGTTGAGTTGATTGAGTTGAGTCGATTGCCTGGACTTGCCTTGCTTACCTGTAACAGCAAGGCAATGAGAACGACTCGAGGCTCAAATATTGTGCTTTTAAGATGGATAAGTACACAGGCGGAAACTTGCTACCTAGAGCAAGGCAAGTTGCAATCATCCTGTTTTCCCATTGCATACAATAGGCTTCACCATGAGGCAATATCGATAGAGTTGCGGACGAGCGACCCTCTACTAGGTAGGAAACACACTCAGTGCCCCTTCCTGTCTTGAACATATGCCTGTCCCTTTTCCGGCTTTGCCTCTCGCCTTGGGAATTTTGCTCATGAATACTTCCCAGAATCAAGCCACCGCCGGCCAAGAGGTAATTCAAGACGAGTCAAATACGCTGTTAGTATTCCTACCCTGGATTACGAACGACTTCAACAATCCTGAATTGGTCATCGCCACAGGAGATACTCGCCAGTTCAAGGTCCCGTTCGCGGGTACTTGGCACGCCGAGGCAGCTTGTCGGAAGGACGCTTCTGGTGCCCACTAGGCTGGCTTTTTATAACATGTTCGGCTCATGGCAGGTTGGAGACAGTGTTGCCTGGATCACAAGACATGTAAAACAGAGAGGGGGTGTGTCATCTCACAGCATGAGCAAGATCGGCTCTTCAAAATAGCCAATGGGCTTGCTTACTGAGGTAAGAAGTAGACTGGGTGACTGTGGTAATTATTTCACAGTCAAGATTATCACGAAATACCTACCGGAGTCTGTACATGTCCTTCGCATCCGTATTCGGTTTCCTCACTCATCACTCGGCTTGCTCGGCTCTTTTTCGACGCGGCAAACACCACAAACCACTGAGAACCCGACCGCGGGATTGGCCCTCTGGGACCTGCATACTAGGATCTGACAGGGCGTGTAATTCGCTGACAGTCTAGATCTCTCAAGTCTTGGGTGTGCTAAAACAAGTGTGGCACCATCTGGAAGTCGTCGTCCCGGCGTATGTCAATGGAGTCGTTGACGTATGCAATGTGAGCTGCGCCTCCTTTCTCGGACGTTCATGGTGAAGAAACGATCAAGACGAGAGGCCCGGCCCCCGGACGAGCAGACGCTCCCGGGGCTCCGCATGTGACGGCGGGCGGCCGTTGCCCTGTGGCACACACCACAAATTTCCCAAATAGGCAGTGACCTCTGCAACTAAGCTTCCCGTCCCGCCAGCGCGCGCCCTACCACCGCCATCCGTGGAAGTCCACTCCCCTTTGACTTGACTTTCCGTCTGAAAATTGTACAAGTCGAGACTCACCGCCAAACATCCCACCACCACCACCCGTCACCACCGATTCCCCCCCCCAACGCTCGCTACTTCTCCCTCCCCTCTCTTCCTCGTCATTCATTCACCCCGCGCGCAGCTGTTGAACACGGGGATACCCTTTATTTCCTCATCTACTCGTATTTTGTAATCAATTGAGAAACTACCTACACAGCAAACAAACATGATCGCAGCGCCCTGGGACAAGGTCCCTCCCCGCGAACAGCTCTTCGTGCTGGTCACCGGCGCAAACAGGTGAACCACTACTACAGCCCACCCCTCTCTCTCTCTCTCTCTCCTCGACTCGACCTTTGCTCTTCGATGTCTTACTTCGACTCTCCTCGGACACAGAACACAATGAGCTGACAGCAATCTCAAAAACCAGCGGGGTCGGCCTCGGCATCTGCGAACGCCTCATCGACGACTTCCTCGCGACCCGGCCCCTAACCTCCCACCTGATCCTCATCCCGACCACCCGCTCCGTCCGCAAGTCCCGCGAATCCGTCGAGTCCCTCCGCGAACACCTCCGCCGCACCGCAACCACCTCCCCGGCCCTCCGCTCCCGCGCCGGCTCCTCCTACTACGACCCTGACGACACCCTCGCCCGCGTCCACCTGCTCTCCACCCAGCTCGACCTCTGCGACCTCCCCTCCGTCTACGCCTGCGCCGCCAACCTCGTCGCCGGCACCCTCACCGACCCCACCGACCCCGTATCGCCCCCGCGCGCCCACAAGATCCCCCGCCTCGACTCCGTCATCTTCAACGCCGGCTTCGGCGGCTGGACCGGCCTCGACTGGACCGGCCTCCTCACCGACACCTTCACAAAGGGCCTCCTCGCCGTCCTCACCTGGCCCTCCTTCAAGCTCGCACGCCCCGGCGCCGTCCTGAACCAGCGACCCGTCCGCTCCGACCTGGTACCCACAGACTCCCCCGATAACCCCCTCTCCCTTGCCTCCGCTTACGATACCAAGCCCTCCTCCCCCGTCCTCGGTGAAGTCTTTTGTGCAAACGTCTTTGGCCACTATGTCTTTGCCCACGAGCTGCTGCCCCTCCTAAGCAGAGTCACGCCCGAAGAAACACCAGGCCGCGTCGTCTGGACAAGCAGCATCGAGCCTCAAGCGCGCCACCTCCGCCTCGACGACTTCCAGGGCGTCGAGACGGAAGGGCCGTACGAGTCCTCGAAGCGCCTCACAGACGTGCTCTCTCTCTCGTCCCACCTGCCCGCCACGCAGCGCATCTCCCACTCCTACTTCACCCCCGAAGACGCCCAAATCGCACAGCGCCTACCAGTTCGTCCTTCCTTTTATCTCACGCACCCGGGCGTAGTCGCCTCCAACCTCTTCCCCGTGCCCTTCCCCTTTATCCTCTTTTGGGCTTACAAGTTTGCGCTCTACCTCGCCCGCTGGCTGGGGTCGCCCTGGCACCCCGTGACGGGCTACAACGGCGCCGTCGCGCCCGTCTGGATCGCGCTGCAGGACGACGAGACGCTCGAGGAGCTGGAAGCGAAAAAGATCAAGTGGGGGTCCGCCGCGTCGTTTTCTGGGCGGCAGGACGTCAAGAAGACCGAGGTGGAAGGGTGGGGGTGGGAGGGCGCCGTCGAGGATCGGGATTCGCTTGCGAGGGATCCTGCGACGGGCGTGCTGAGGAAGGCTGTTGGGCGGAATCCGGGCGCGAAAGATCTGACCAGGGAGCAGCTTGTCGATTTCGAGGCGTTGGGCGTGGATATTTGGACCGAGATGGAGAGGTTGAGGCATCAGTGGGAGGAGTTTCTCGATATTCGAGGGGAGGGCGTCAACGGGCACAGTCACAGTCACACCAATGGCAATGGCAAATCTGGGTGAGCTGGAGAAAATCAATCTCAAGAGCACGAGATGTAATGAGATGGACAAGGCGTAAGACGGGTTGTTTTGCAAAACATACGGGGGGGTATCCAAAATTAACTATATAGCATACAAAAGACTAATGCCTAATTACCAACACAACAACTACTCGCTCTCTACCGTACGCACGCATAGTCCCCGCGGACGGGTTCTGGACTAGGCATTGGTTGTCTGTCGCGTGCTCTGCTCGTCAGACCTCACACGCCGGAGACTAACTCTATCACTCCGCCCAAACAAGCCCAGGCACAACGGCAACGGCACAATGACCAAAGCGACGACAGCCTGGAAGATGAGCGCATTCTTCATATTCTTGGGCGGGTTCGCCTTCTCATCGGCCTGCAGCGCGTCCGAAATGATGATAAACAGCGCGCCGAGGAGCTGGCCGCCGGCCCAGGCAATGGTGCTCGTGACCTCGGGACTGACGGGGTGACTCAGCTCGATGAGCAGCTCAAGCGCGACAGGGACGAGGGAGAAGGAGGCCGCGCCGAGGACGGCGAGGACGACGTAGGGCCCCGCAATGTTGCGCGTCTCGGGCATCCAGACGAAGGCGAGGTAGCAGAGTCCGATGACGGGGACGGCTATTTTGATGGCGAGGAGGAATTTCTTGGTGCGGTCTAGGATCGGGGAGGCGATTGCCGATGCGACGAGGCCTACTACGATTAGGAGGGCGCCTGCGATGCCTGCTTCTTCGTCTGAGAAGCCGTAGGGACCCATCATCTGGTTGAGGAGGGAGGAGATTGAGTTGAAGAAGCCGACGTAGAAGGCGTAGGGGAGGAGGATGAGCCAGAGTTCGAGGGAGCGGGAGACGATGCTCAGAGAGTCGCGGATGCCGAGCTTGAGGGTACGGGAGGAGGGGGCGACGGGGGTTGGTGGTGCCGCGGGGATGAAGAAGGCCGGTAGGGAGGCGACGGTGGAGATGATGGCGACGTAGAGGACGCCGGGGGACATGTCCTGGGGGTCGACGACCCAGAAGGGGACGATGAGCTGGCCGAGGGCTGCGCCGAGGGGGTTCGCGAGGGAGGTGAGGGCCGTGGCGGCGACGCGGCCGCGGTTCGTGAACCAGAGATCCGAGTAGCGGGTCGGCGCCGCGAGGACGAAGGGTTGGGCGAGGCCGGTGAGGATCTGGCCGAACATGACGACGCCGTAGTTTCCGCCCGTCGGGGAGCGGGAGTGGCTGCCGGCGTAGCGGATCCAGTTGCCGATGAGAATCAAGGCGGCGGCGGTGATGAAGGAGGGTTTGGGGCCCATGTGGAGGATGCGGATCGTCAGGGGAAAGATTGCGACAAAGGCGAAGAGGAAGGCTGTGGAGAGCCAGTTGATGGCGGACTCGGAAACGCGGTAGTAGGTTGCTGCGTTGGAGGCCACGGGGGCGAAGGTGAGCCACTGTGATTTGTTAGTATTCATTCAGATTCTCGGTCCATTGAGATGCCAAGAGCCTGGCGTTTTGGTGTTGATGCAGGATAGGAAGTGAACTATTCGCCAGCCTTGTTGGCGATGTGCAGTCTGATCGATGGTGGCTTGCCTGATGCAGGTACTCCGATCCCAAAATACACCTTTTGCGATTCGACCAATTCCATCAGGAGATATATTGACTTACATCCCACGAGACGATGATGTTAAGCAACGTCAACTGCGCGAGCCCGAACCAGCGGCGCTTGTACGTGCGATACTCGACGGCCGTTCCCTCGAGGACGCTGTTGTTGTCGTCAATGCCACCGCCACTGAGACCACCGCCAACCCCGCCATTGGCGACGTCGTTGTCGCGAGACCGGGAGTCCACATCGCGGAGGTGGTACTCCTCGTCGCCGAGCTTGCCAAAGCCGGAGCCGGGGCGGGCGTGGTTCGGCATTGCCGTCGGTGCGGCTGCGGCGTCGAGGCCGATGGGAGCAGCGGCGTCGTGAGGTGGGTTCGCGGCCTTCTTCTCGTTTTCGCCAGTATGTGTCGAAGTGGTGGCGGTGGTGGTGGTGATGTTATTCGTGGTGTCGTTGGTGGGAGTGGAGTTGTCGACCGAGGGGTCGTTCTCGCTCTTCTGACGGCGGGAGAAGTGCATTTTGTGTGTGGTCTTTAGTGGGCGCGAGCGCCAACGGGCCAGAACTTTTGCGCGCCAGAGAGCCCGATCTTTAGGGGGCTGTCGGCTTGTCGCAAGTTCTTCTGAGACAGCGGCGGGAGATTGGCCTAGGCGTGTCTGGGCAGGGAACCCTTGACTTTCGTCGTTCCACCTCGTCTGCGGATTGTAAAGCCTGTGATTGTCGTCCGTCTCGAGTTCTTCCTATTCCTCCAACACGGCGCGAAGGTGATGTTGGGACGGAGGGCAATGCGCTGGATGGGGAAGGGGGACGAAGAAAGATAAGCCCACCACCAAAACCACCAAAACTAGACCAAGAGCCAAGAGGATGGGAGGGAAGGAATATAAGCTGGAAGAGAGAAAGCGGAAAGGTCGACTTAAGAAGGAACCTGCCCTGAACGGGATTTTGGCAAAATTGACAAGACGCGGGACGTGGGAACAGGAACAGGGGGTGACCAGATGCAGTGCAACTGATGCGGGAGATACCCAAGGAAGGCAAGGTAAAGTAAGGTATTCCATCGAAAAAAAAGACAAAAAAAAAAAAACCTACAGAAGATCCCTCCAAGTCGAGTCTCCAACGGTCCAACTTCCCCGGTCTGGACTGGTGTGTGTGCCTGGTCTGCCCCGTGTGCCGTGGGCCGTTTTGTTGGTCCAGACGATTCTCAGTTTCCTGATCCTCTCAAGTTGCATTACATTGAGGGGACATGGCGCCCAAACTCTCCACCTGCTCTTCTCTCGTTCCTATGGGCAGACATGAGCAGACATGAGCGGCGGCACATCAGTGCATGACCGATCTACTATCTCATTATTCCATGGATGAAGGGGACAAGTCAAGAGTCGCGAACTCGAGGGACGATGGGAAGAGGGGGGGAACGAAGCTCACGTTCAAATGAACCACTGCACTTGGAAAGCTTGACACCTCCAAAATGAGACTGCAGCATTGCAGCAGTTGGAGATGCTCACATGCCCCAGCCGAGGAACAAAAACGACCTCAGCCAGAGATATGCATGGACGGATACCTATCATCTGAGATATCCAGAATGCAACCAACAGAATCGGGTGCTCTCTCTCTCTCTCTCAAAGTTCCTCTATCCGTACTGGTACGGCGCAGCAACCGGCGGGAGAAGAGGGTGGGTGCACCCCCATTGGCCCGCCTCCCGGCCGAATTCCTCTCTTTGGGCCACCTCCTCCGGGCCCATCCTCCGCTCCACACACAGCACCATGGAAAAGGGTCCCTATCCCGAAGCCAAAGTCTGAGCAAAGGTGTCTGTCTAGAGGACCAAAATGTGTCTTTGGTCCTACTATTGTCCGTTAAAGATATCTAAGCATGCTTAAAAAATAAAAAAAAAGCCCTCTTCTCGAAATCAACAAGAGCTGGATACTAGACCCGAGCAAACATGGCGTCCGGGGCATGAGTGTTTAAAATCTCTCGATTGCCATTGACGGAATCCCATTTGGTGCTCGAAAGCACAATCGTCTCACTGCTTCGCCGCACACGAGCAGATTTACTGCGTCCACGGTCCAGGGATCCATCTTCCTCGCCTCCGTCGTCGCGCCATAAGCTCGCCTCGCCTCGCCTAGTTGGCTGCTCGTCCCGAGATAACCTTACCTTACCTTAGGTATTAGCTGATCAATCATCAACATATGGCGTTTCTTCGTTAGCCGCCATACACAAAACACACGCAAAAAACACTCCATGGAGGTATCCATAAACCTCTCCACAGTTGAAGGCAGAGTTAATGTTCAAAAGCTACCACGTCTCATATATCCTTTACCGCATCGATGATTCGACCTCGGTCTTGATTCACAAGCCTAGCCATCGTCAACATAGCGAGACTCCATTTCACAGATCGCAACTTCACACTCGTACTCAAAGCCCGCAAGTAAAAGTCATGGAGGAATCTATTGCGCGATATGCCTATAGTACAAAAGACAAGAGCTTTCGGCGCCGCAAGCCAGACAGCGCCCACTGGGGTACTGAGCAACCCGACTTGACAGGCACTATTGGGGAGGGAGGGATGGAGGTACAAGGGGAGTGGTAATTGGAGATCCCAAAGGAACTCCGGGGACCGGTTTGCTAGACGGATTTCGTTCTCGTCTTCGTTTCGGCATCGACACTTCTTTCTCTCTCTCGCGAGCCCACTCTCCTAGAATTAGAATACCAGTCGTCCGATGCCGCTGATGAAAAAAGTGGTCTTGACAGAAGATGATGAACCGCCGATGCCGTTCCGTCATTTGTCGTCTACGATGTCAAGTCTGGGAGATTTGGCGTTTACTTGAGCTTGGCCCAGAGCTTGGGGGCGGCGCACTGGGTGGCGCAGTGGGCGAGGTGGAAGACTACAACACGATGTCAGTTCTCATCAGTCCTGCTGGAGCATTCTTGCCATCTACCGCAAGACTGGCAGATTTAAGTCAGAGCCTTTCCCCTCGGTGACAACTTACACTCCTCAACGCAGTCCTCCTTGGCACCCTCCTCGCTGTCGGCAGCCGCCGTGACGCGCTCGACGCACTCATCGTAGTGGTGCTTGGCCGGTGCGCAAGCCTTGGACTCCTCGCAGTCTGTCATCCAAACATCGTCAGCAATTCGTTCTATAAGCTTCGCAGTATCGCACATCGTGTCTGGCGGATAGATAGAGTTGGAAAGCGGGCGGTCGGATCGCGATGGAGAGAGCTCGCAAAATTGCTCATATGCGTGTCATCGATTCCTCCCGCCCGAGCAACCGAATATCGCGTATCGCCATCGAATATGTATCGGGGATTCCGGGAGTAAAAGTAGACGAACCTTTCTCGAGCTGCTCCTTGGGGTCGACGGTCTCCTCCTCTTCTTCCTCCTCTTCCTCTTCCTCCTCCTCTTCCTCTTCCTCCTCCTCGGCCTCGGGCTCCTCCTTGGACTCCTCGGCGGTCTCCTCCTCCTAAAGAAAGAGACATTAGTCAACGATTCGAACCATTGCGGTTTGTCGGAAATAGTGCAGGAATATGCAAACGAGGCCGTGAAGAGTCTCGGGATATGGCGATCGTCATCCCAGCATCCCTCGCCCGACCTCACGTCACGCCTGCAACAAATTGCGCAAAAAAGGCTTCTCTCACCTTCTCCTCGGCGGCAGGAGCCTCGGCCTCGACGGTGGCCCACGGCATGGCGGCCTCAGCGAGGTCCGTGATGGTATCCCAGAAACCCATTGTGGCGGAGGTGCGTGCTGCTCTCGAATTGGCTTGACGTGATGTCGTGGATAGTGGTTGATGGGGTGGGAAGTCGGGAGCTTTCGGCAGAGTCGAGGACGAAAACTGGGTGTTCTGGATCGGTCGTAAGTTATTCCCAATTGGCCGGTTTTGATTGGCTGCGGTGGAAAGGCTGGGTGACTAAGCGTCATCGAACTTTGAACGTGACCGTGGCCCGGAGCGCCAAGGATTTGCCGTTCCGGTGCTCCTGCAGTACCTTTACCTTCCTAAGGTACCTTACTCCCGTACAGTCCCGTCTACCGTGTACCTCACACCTTTGAGACCGGCCGAAAGCTCCAAAGCCACCATCTCGTCACAATCACATGGAAAAGTTAAAAAGAAGAAAAAAAGGACCAAGCAGAGAAAAAAAGTCATTGGGGAGAAAGTTTACTCGCATGGTTGCGTCAAGCTTCCCAGCGTTAACATTCAACCATCATGCTCACTGGCAGCCACTCATCACATAAGGTCTTGTCCATAAGGTACCGTACGAGCCGGCTCGCGCACAGCATACTCATTGCCCCCGTCTCTTGTTCCTGGGGGGCATGCATCCCGATCCTCGTCCTCATCCTCCTCATCAAGACGCGCCCGTCCTTCTCTACACTTCAAGTTCGTTAAGAAACGCAGGATCCGCCAGCCGCTAGTGTAGATGCTATAAAAAGTTACAGGTGTAGGGAGTGAAATGCAGGGAGGTATCGATGCAAAAGCGTTAGTCATGAGCCCGTGATGAATCAAAACCCCCCGCTATGCTCTGTCAGACTCTTCGCGAACATGATCCTCGAGTCGCATGCTGAGCGTCTGTGCTTGCGCCTCGTCATAGTCTGGTGGGGGCTCGTCCGGACGCCGGTTCGCATTCTGGCCCCCCGAACTGGCCGGCCGGCCTGCCGGCTCTTCCTGTTGCTGTTGCGGCGCAATGTTGCTCGGAGCTGCTCCGCCGCCCTCGGTTGCTTCGTAGGCCGGCAGCGGCTCGTCCGGAATGTTGACCGTCTGCCCCGTCTCCTGTTGCAGACGCCTCACATGCTCGAGACGTTCCTTGAGCTCTTCGAACCTTTGCCGGAACTCGCTGTGGCCGCCCTCTTTGAAGCTCATCTTCACCTCGACCCGTGGTATGTCGGCAGGCACGCCGCCTCCAGAGACCGGCACGACGGTGGCGGACCAGAACCAGGCGCCAAAGAACGGCGAGCCAACGTACGAATCGGCGCAGTTAAGAATCGGCGCATGGAACGACTTGAACTCGGCGGTGGGTTTTGCAGGAATGTAAATGACCTGGAGGAGGGTTATCAGCTTAGCCCTCCGGCGCCATGTCTTGGGATAAGTCATGTAGTGCGTACCCGCTGTGTTGTGATGTAGGCTGTGCCATTGTCGCTTTTGCGCGCAAAGGGCGACCTTCCTTGCTGTAAGGCCTTGGGTACCGACAGCTCGAGGCTGACTTTGGCATTGGATCTGTGCCTGATATGTTCGTGAGGAAGAGGGTTGATATCACCCGTCTGAGTGATCATGACCCAACTATCACCATGGTCAGAATCTAGGCGGGCCTGGGCAAGCTGTCGTTCTCTCTGGACGGTGCGGGCAATAGTGAGGGCATGCTGCTCTTGCAGGTACTGATCCGTCATGGTGGACGGCGAGTGTGGGGTGGTATATAGCCGAGAAGAGAGAGAGAGGAGGTCGACGGTCGAGGTTGGCAGTGGGGTTATCACGGACACTGACCGGGATGGCTCCGTGGTGCTGGGGCTCGGGCGGCGTGGGATGACGGGAAGATGAAGGGGAAACAGACGCAGAGCATAAGAGGGAAAAGGGACATGGAGGGACGTACTTTATTGACATTTTGAACGAAACGGCGAGCAGCTGCAGCGCAGAGCTTCCTAGTTCGTCTCAGCGAGTTGAGGGTTGCGTGGGAGTGGGCGTGGTCGGTAGCGGCAGGGCTTGCAGAGAAGCTTCGGAGATCTGGATTGTGGTGGGGTGGATCCTGGTACAGGCACAGGCACAGGGGAGGTACTTTGTGGGAAGGGGAAGAGGGCGTCGCGTTCTGGGCAGCGGCGAGGGCGGCGTCGGCATCGGCGTCGGCGGGTATCGAGAAACTGGAGTGAGGTGCTGGTGCTGGGTTGCTGGTGCTGCGGCTGCGGCTGCTGTTTGATACAGGTCGAGGCGGCAAAGAGGAGGGCGCGAAGAGGGTGAGTAAGTGAGTGAGAGAGGCGCACCGGAGGGGTGGGAAAGGATGCAAAGGCTGATAGCGTCAGTCAGGTATTAGCTGGTGCGGATAAGAAGGGTAAGGCAAGGCACAGGGCAAGGTCAGGTATGGTAAGGTCAGGTCAGGTCTATGGACAGGGTATTCTCGGACAGGGTGGAGGAAATAAGGTACTTACCTTGTTGCTGCTTGAGCGAGGCAAGGCGCGGCAAGTCCAGGCAAATAGATTTCGTAGACTCGTAGTTTGTACGGATAGAGGGCAAAGAGGGCAAAGGGCTCAAGGGAGCGGGCCAGACAAGATGACACAGCTCAACCAACCGAGGAGAGGAGAAGGCCAAGTTGCGGCAACTACTCTGGCTAGTCCGACGACGGTGGCTGGGGAAGTTCGGATGCGTAGGTAGTCGAGGTGGGGGAGGGGTTCTGTGACAAGACAAGCAATGGTGTGATGAGATGGGATGGGATGAGAAGGCCAGAGGAGGAGTACCGTATGGATCGGATAGGTAAGGTATGAGGAGAAGGAGGATTCTCTCATCAACCTGAGGTGAGATGGGTGTGTAGTGAACGGAGTAGTGTAATGCGGATAAGGTCGACGAGACAAGGTGAGGTGAAGAAAGCCCAAGTACTCCGTACCTTACTCCATACCAAAAAGGTGTAGCCAGTAAGGTAGCCGTCGCTATACGTGCTTCTTCTTCTTCTTCGGCTTGGGGAGCGGGGGACCCAATGAGAGACATCGGCGCGCGGCGCAACTGGATGAATGTGTGTCCACAGAAGTTGAGAGTGCCAATAGGTTCTCAATGGAAGTGTGTGTGTGTGTGTTTGTGTGTGTGTGTGTGTGTGTGCGAGTGTCGATTGGATCCAGGCCCCCAGGTGTCTCCAAAAAGTCTCCAACTGACTGACTCTAGGCCGTTATGTTGCGTCCTGCGTCTTTGCGGGTTCCCGGGACTCTTCTCTCTGAGTCTTTATCTCCCTGTTTGCTGCTAGTTCACGCAAGTCGTCCAACGTCTGTCGATTCGCCGCGTCTTGTTTGGTCCGCTGCTCACGGCTGTTGGGTTCCATTTGTTTGCTTCTGCCATCCGCGCAGGAGAGAACTATGGCTACCTTGCCTTAGCGTTCAAGGTATACAGTACACTGCTTGCTTCTTGCTTGCTTGCTTGCTTGCTTGCTTGCTCGCCTCCACTACTCACTGGTCCTGCGTGAAGAACGACGGAGTCTCGGCTGAAGTACCTGTATGAATCGCTTTCCTTGCCCTTGGTTCTCCTCCTCCTCCTCCTCCTCCTCCTCCTCCTTCTCCTTCTTCGTCTCCTCCCCTCCCGGCCTAGGTAAAGTACTCATCCACCAGTCGTCGAGAGGTTTGTAGGTTGCAGGTGTGGATGAGGTGCCAGCGACATGGGCCCTCTGGGTCAGAACTGCTGCAGCCCAGAACAAGACTCTGGACGAATGAGCTCAGCGCTTGGCCAGGGTTGGCTGGGTCGGTCCTTTGCGACCACACTGCAGGCATGGATGATGGGGGGGAAACTCTGTGCGCCGCGCAGTAAGTAGGAGGCGCATTGGATCACGCAGACTCGCAGTAGCAGCAGGCCTGGGACCCGTCCGCTCAATGCAAATTTGAGAGATTGCGGAGCTTGAAGCGACGTCGTCCTGCAGTTGGCCCAATCGACTGAGCCTGGGGTCTGTACTTGATCTGATCCGTCCGAGGTTTACCTGCCAGCCGGCGCAAAAGTGGGAAAGGTGTCCAAGTTGCCCCCTACCTCTTCCTAGGGAGCCATGTTGTGGTAAGTCTTGACTAAGGACCGACCGACGGGCGACACCCAAGGACAAGGTCGACCGAGATAGCAACAAGCGGCGCGGCTTCTGGCATCTGCTGCTGGCTTTCCGGTCTCCCCTGCGTTGCGCCGCCGGGCTACTAGTAGGCGCGAATAGAGTGACAGTAGCAGTCATTGACCTTGGAGATCTCTCTCCAAGAGGGACGGATGACCAGGTCTAGGACCAGATTGCCAGGAAGAGTGCAGACCAGGGATCTCGGGATGGACGCGCCGATCCTTTTGCATCCAACTCGAGCCAGGAACCCTCGTCTTGAAACAAAGCCTCCATGAAGCTCTCCCGTCTGGATTGGCTCGGTGAGCGACTTTCACCTTGTGACGGCAACGACAATCCCTCGAGCTTTGATGCCAAGGTCACCATCTCCAGCTCGACTGCTCGGGTTTCCTAGAAAGGCAGTGAACCATGATTATGAGTCCAAACAGGGCACGCCGTGTCTTGGTGCCTGAAGATGACTCCGACGAGACCGAAACCGATCTCATTTGTACCTAATTGCCATGTACGCCTTTGGTTGTGGTCGTGGCATGCCTAGCTCTCTGGACAGTCAATATCAGTCATGGGACATTGTGAACCCTGAATCCTTCTACCGCGGACACCCCAAGACCCAAGCCGACGCAACGCGCGGCGCGGCCTATGTCTCACTCAAAGACCAGACGAACAGATGTCAGTTGTTTTGCATGTTTTGGAAAAAGAAAAGAAGGCGTCTCCCCCGAGTCAAGCGGAATGACTCGAAATGGCTGCTGGCCAGCAGCTCGTGCCGCAGACATATAGAGAAAGCTGGGGATGATTGAATGGGGTGCTTGAGTTGAGACCTTGGGACTCGGGAGGGAGAGTTTGTGGAAACCATCCAGTGTTTTCCCGTTCCCGTTCCCCGTTCCCGTTCCCCGTCAAGACCAGTACTCCGTACCATCCATGATCTTCAGCGGCCCGGGACTTGCCATGACATCGGGGCCGTCGAGCATGCGGTCGTTGGGCTTTGTCCACCCACGTCCCACAGTCAACCAACCCAATGCCAGACGTAGACCCAGCCAGAAACAACTTTGCAAAAGCAGCGCCAGTGGCGGGCTTACATTCATCGTCAAGCACAAAGTAGTCCGGTAGCGAGTGCAGCGTGGTCGGCCACATGCCTGCGCAGTACTCCGTACTCCGTACCCAGATGATACCCCTGATCATTGTCCCGCTTAGAACCCGGAAATAAACGGAGATCTCTGGCGGGGGTTTCTGGAGGAGGAGACCAGGGGTTTGGCGGCGTAGTGGCCGTGGAAAACTTGTGTGCTTAACAAGCAGAAGCCGGACGGACAATGAGCCTGTGAGGTGGACAGACCCTGCCCTCGTTCGCGGTGGATAGCCAGTAACGAGCGCTCCGTGTCATGTCGTTGGAGTCGTCGCCATCTCGGTATCTCTCTCGTGGCCCGGCGATTGGCCCCGGTGAGTGAGGGGTATAACCCGGAGTTGAGGCCAGTGTTGCATTGCCAATGATTCGAGAGGTTGTTGAACGGGACGCGAAGTATACGGGGGCATACGCATAGAGAGGCCAGCGTTTAGCAGACGAGCATTGGTGTTTGGTGGAAAAGTAGACCGGTCGAAAAGAGTTGAGACCACTGCAGGATCGCATCACACTTCCTGACCCTCGCGTGTTTGCCTCTGGGTATCTTGGGAGCTTAGGTAGGTGAGGGAGGTAGGTAGGTAGGTAGGTATTCCGAGGTAGATGGGTGTGATGGTGATGTGTTGGAGACTTGAACATGGGGAAGAGTGACGAGAAGGCATTCAGACAAGAAGACCCCAGCTCGTACTCCTCTTCTACCGGACTCCTGCTCCGATGCTCCTTCCCATCAGGAATTCCCGTCCATGCCTGCCTTCCAAGTTCCATTGATGGACTTGCCACTTGCGTCTATCGCCACGTGAAGTCGTGATAAGGTAGGTACGAGGCATCGTCGCTCTTGCTCTCCCGGTGTAAGGTACCTACCTACCTTAGCGACGTTAGCCATTGGTCGGGACGGGAGTGCGAGGCGTTGCTTCCCAATTGGAGCTTGAGATCCCGCCGTCTAAGAAGGTCGCACTCGCTGGCTCCTTCCGAGTCTAGATTCCTTTCCAAAGTGCCAACATGGAAGGTAAGATTACCATTTACCCGAACCTCACCTTGCTTACACCTTACGGTCTCACCTAGGTAGGTATCCGCACGGGATACTCACCTTGAGAAGATACATAGATACTTCACCGTACGCAGTACCTGCCTACCTCCCTTAGGTACCTGCTTGACCTTACTCGTGTGGCTGGACTCGGCGACACGGCGACACCTTACAGGCAACATATTCCTCCCGACGCAACGAACATCGTTCTCTCCTTTCGGCCGCAGAGAAGCACGCCGCCCACGCCTGCATCCACCATAATTCAAGATTCTGACCGCTTGTCCGGATCGTCTGCCCTCTTTCAGGAACATGCGAGCTCCGAGGGGGCCAGGGCCACATCTCGGACACTTGGAACCGACCCATCTCGAACCCTACCTTAACCGATACCTTGCACTGCAACTCGTCTTTGCCTGCTTTCAACTTCCCTGTCCGCCCATTTCCCCAAGCTCCGGATACCAAAAGTCGCGCGGCACAGCCAAAGAGCTGCATGAGAAGCGAGCCCACGCCGCACACACAATACCATTATCAACAACACTTTGACGAATAATCACGCTACGACTACATACGGATACATACGCGCTCTATCGTCTTTCCCCGCTGGCCGATATCTCATCATGTGACTGATCGGCCCATTCACATACATGTAGCGGATCGACAGGATGGTCTCTGTCTTGTAACTGCTCCTCCTCCTGTCTCACCACCCGGCGATAATGCGACCGCCGTCTGCGCACATTGGCGACACTGATTCGACGTGTGTGCGAGAGGCGGAGATATAGTCAGCCAATAGCAGTAGTCGGCCAATGAATCGAACTGTTCTAGGTCCCTTCATTCTCCGGCAGGCATATGGAGTACCTCCTTGCAACTGCTGCACCTCAACTCCACCAGTCTCACTATCGGATTGCTACCTACGCCAATATAGGCTCTTAATCCGCCCGTGTTCCCTGGACCCGGTAGATGGGCTGTTCAATCAGGCCGGTATCGCGCCTTTCACACTATCAACTGGGCCCGCGGTCTGTTTCCGCCTTCTCGTTATTGTAAGGAACAACGGATCACAACGTTGCTGCATCAACCAACGTCTCGGCAGAAAATGGAATATTGGAAACATCTAGAAAGCGACACAATGTCTGCGCAACTGCCAAGGTGGCACCGCAGCCGTACCAGCCTACCTACCGAGAGTGCCTTACCGCACGGCGTACGGATGCTGCGCGCAGATGCTTCCATGATGGTCCCCCACCAAGCACAAGCCTCAACGTGCATTCCTGCAAAGCCCACCCTCCTCCCTCTGGGACGGCATGTGATTGGAGGGGCTGTCCCACGGCGGCTCCCGGGCATCCAACTTCACCCGAAACCCAGCTACGTCGAGCGTTTGACCTCTAGAAATCAAGATGACGCGAGCCATTGTCCAATTCATTCGTACAACATCTTCGACTCCGGCATCATCTCCCTCAACCGCGGTTCTATGTTGTCCCATCTGACGAGACATCGCCTCCAGACTTGCTTCTAGCCTATAAACTCTCAGCTCACAACTCATTCCGCTACCGATTAGTCGCTTCACGCTACCATGACCAACACGGACGACGAACGAATTGCAGCTCTTCAAAAGTTCACCGCTTGTGATATTTCGGATGCACTCGTGAAGCTCAAAGTGCCCGGGGCTGGCTTCCTACCTGATCTGCAACTGCTGGGCCAACCGAACCCCGCAGATGCTCCCATCACCATAGCACCAGCATCCACGATACTTTTTGCTCGAAAGGGGGAGACGTTGGATTCGCCCACGGCAAACATTCCCAAAAACACTCACTGGGCTGATATCACCCAGCCGGGTACCATCGTGATCATCAGACAGCCCGACGGGCAGAAGAATGCCGTCTGCGGAGGTATCATGGCTGTGAGGATGAAGGTTCGGCAAGCGAAGGCGATCGTGGTAGTAGGCCGTGCCAGGGATCTGGACGAACTAACCAGTACGGGTCTACCGGTGAGTCAAACAAACCACCCAGGTCCTTTGCGATCTTCTCCAAGTCCCCTAATAAATCTGACCGGCGGTCGCTGAACCTTCCTAGGTCTGGGCAAGGGGACTCTCCACGGTTGGCGCCGGGGCAGAGAGCACCCCTTGGGCGGTCGAAGTACCTATCAACGTCGATGGCACCGTCGTCAACCCTGGTGATCTCGTTTTCGCTGATCCGGTGAACGGCGTTGTCGTCATCCCCAAGGATAAAGTCGACCAGGTGCTGGAGCTTCTCCCCAGGCTTACAGCTGCCGACGACAAGGTCAAGGCAGACGTGCTAAATGGCACATCGGTGTTTGATGCCTTTAAGACGCACCGGAGCAATCTCTAAATCCAGTTGAAGGTTATGACCGTACCTTACCGGGAACTTTCGGACTCGACTAGATGATGAAATCCTGTGGGTTGCAAATCATTTGCTGCATCGGCAGAGATGTCTCACTCAGATGAAGATACTTACTCCTACATCGTTACTTTACGGGAAACGCTGGGGAAGGCAACGCAGGGTCTTCTTACCCTGGGGTGGTACTCGTTCGTGGGACAACGTCGTTATCCAAAGACCTGGATAGGGGGGGAGGGAGGCGTCCATTGGGAGCTACCTCTGCAATGCATAACCCATCTTCTCGTCACAAATCCCTTGCCGAGCCCAACGCACTGATACTGACGACCACAAGGGTCCTTCAAGCGAGCAACAGCAGTACCACCATCATGACCGTCAGAACTAATCCCCAACTTCATCCTGTAGGACCCGACCCTGGCGCCCCTTTGCGAATCATGCGCCGACACCGCACGCTGATGATTGATCTACCGACCAGCGGCCCGCGGGAAAGGAAAAAGTGCCCAAGAGCTGGTTGTCGGACAATGTGTGCAAATGTGTTAACCCCCGTCACCTCCGAATCTGCCCCAAGAAACTCATCTATCAATTTGAGGCCCGACGGATTTGACTGACATCCGTGCCCTCGGCTCAGGCTGACCGCCCCCCTGTCCCCCCTTGCCTTCCCTTCCTGATCCTCTCCTCCTCCCCAGGTCTTGAAGTTAAAGCCGCGAACCTCTATGAAGGATGCCAGGCTGAGTAAGCCTTCTGTCAAATTTCAAGTTCTCCCTTTCCTCTTGGAAGAGAATGAACAGGCACGTAAGGTACTTGTCCGGAGCACCCCCTGTTGGACCCTGATAGAAGAAGACTTTATCTGTACTTCGGGGTATTTTTTCCCGGGCAATGCTCTTCACCTTTGGGGGGAGTAATACCTGGCAAGCGGGGGTGTCAAGAAAGAACATGATACAACACGGTTCATCTACCATTTCCAATAGGACAATTTCCAACGTTAAAGGGCCACCTCGTATCTTCTCTGTGACTTTCTGGTGTTCTGAGTTTACATCAGGCATTTATTTTGCTCTACAGAGGCATGTGTACTGGACATGTGTACTGGACCAAATAAGGGTAGTCAGCAGCGATGGTACAGAGGACCTCGTAACCTGGAAAGTCTACCTTACACTCCCATTTTGACACGGAGCTTCATGTACTCACTGAAAGGAGAACACACGCGCCTAAACATGAGAAAACAAAGTTGACAAGATACGCAGATACGAATAGAGACGTCAAGAAGTATCAGAAAACATTTAATCCCTTTTTCATTTCCCTCCCCCACCCTTCCAATTCCTTCATTATAAAACGAACGGACAGCACATAAAAAAATAACGGCTTTTTCTATGTATGATGATCATCAATTCATAAACGTTGCCCTTCATAAGAAGCATTAGGCAGCATCATGTGTCTCCCCTCTTTGTCTCTCTCTCTCTCTCTCTCTCCTCTCGTCCTCTCTCCGAGTCTCACTCTTCCTTTCCAACCCCCCTGTCTCTGTGTATGTGCATACAACAACACCTCTCTTTCCCTCCTCCTCCCCCTTCTCTCACTCTTCCAGGAATAGTAGGAAAAACAAGGAGACAAAAAACAATATGAAAACTCCACCCTCCTCATCCAGAGATCCAACCCCGAAAACGAAATACCCACAAGGAAACAAAAACAGCGCCCAAGAGCTTCCGCAATCCTCCCCCTTCCCTTCCCTCCTTTTCTTCGTCTCCCTCTTTCTTCCTTCTCCTTCCATTCCAAATCTTCCGGAGACGAGCAGGGTGAGTTGAGTGATTTGCTTCCGCCCCGTCTGCGTTGACAATCTCAAAGGGGGTGTTGGGATACCGATACTGAGGGAAGGCCCAAATGGCCTTCGACGCGTCCATGTCGAAAGCTCGTTGGGGAAACTTCCCCCATCCTGTGATTTTTTTCGAACCCTTTCCCGTAGCAAATTGATGTACAAAAAAAGTCTGCATTCGTCCTTCCAACATGGCTTCATGACAGCCAAACGTCCCTCTCCTTAACGGGCGTAACGCGATGATTATCAAGCCCAAAATCCAACTTTGGAATCTCAATCTTGGGCGCCGCTTCAACAGGCTTCTGGGCTTTTTGTGTCTTTTTGGGACTCGGGTTCCGCGACTCGGGCGGCGGTCCGTACCGCACATCCCGCGAGTCCCACCCGTCCTCCGTGGCCGCCGCGACCCAGCACCGCAGCGCCTCGTGAACGCAGCCGTAAAACTTCTCCTTGCACAGCCGGAGGCTGCCGCCGAGCACCTTTTCCCAGCCCGAGATCCGGAGGTCGTTGCGCAAATTGTTGCGCTGCGCCGCCGTTGGCGTGCAGGCAATAATAGCGTTCATGAGGTCCAGGTGCGAGGCGAGGTAGTTCGTCGCATCCCACTCCACTCCGCCGACGTAAGGAGCAGCCGGGACGGGGGGCCGCTCCGAAGGGAAGTGCCTGTGCATAAAGGCGTGCGGATCTTGATAAGTCGCGCCATTGGTGATTGTGCCGAGCGGCGCGCCGCCCTTGGTCGACATTTCGGACGGCAGGGCGATGACGTTGAGGTGGTGTAGGAAGATCCAAAATACTTCCTTGGTGACGCTGACGACCTCCTTATTCCAGACTGTGTACGGTCGGTCTTTCCGCATCTCCAGTACGAAGCCAAGCGGTCTCTCCTCTTCGTTGGGCTGGGGGTTGCGCAAAAAGGAGAGCACCTTTTGCGCACGAGCGATGCGCTCCATTGGCGAAGCCGACTCAATGTATGTAAATAACACTGACGTGATAATGTTGCGTGTAGTAAACTCGCTGGGACCCTTCTTCTCGGGGTCGAACAGCATATGAAGGAGCTTGGGAAACAAGTCCTCGTGGATGGAGTGGAGATATCGCAAGGCCAGCGCTGTGGTGCATAGAGCCTTTAAGCATAGTAAGTTTTCGTGGAGAAGGGCATCGTCATGTTCCTCCCTATCGTTCATCAGTATTTGAATGGCTCTCTCCCGCTTTTTTTTTTTTTTTTTTTTTTTTTTTGGAAAACCAGTTACTTACCTCCACTCGATAGCGAGAATGCGTTTCAAGAGGCCGACAATCTCCTCCATGCCGCCCTGCTTCATGAAGTCCTCGGTCCACGAGACCGTCTCATTACGCAGAAGCAGCCGTAGTTTATGCAGTTTCCCAACCTCGACCAGCTCCGGCTTCTGCACTTTGCGCAGATACGAAACGTAGTCGCCCGGCCCCTGGCCGAACTTGATCTTAGAAAGAATGCCGGTGCTTCCTGTCGAACTCGCCGAAACAGGCCGCTCGCTGACCACGCTCTCGGTCGACTTGCTTCGGAAATGGCGACCGATGGAAGTGCCGTCGCCCTTGGACTTTTTCGTCGGTGATGCAGGCTCCTTTGGGTCCTTTTTTCGCGACAGCGTGAAGCTTCTTCCGCGAGAACGCTTAGACTGTGTCTCCTCTTTATCAGAGCCTCCGTTCACCGCAGAGGTAGGCTCGTTGGTGTCAGCGACACCAGCCTGCTCTTTGGCCGCCATTTCCGCCCAGTCCTGTCGGATGAACTCCATCTTGATTGTGTCTGCCAGGCTGCGCATCTTGTAGCGCTGGTTCTCGGGGATGTTGCGCCGATCAAGCATGGCCTCGAGGTGCTGATCAATCGCTTTGGGGTCGATGGGCTTGTCGGCGGAGTCCGAAGCCTTGGACTTGGTGCTAGACCCGGCGGCGGAAAAGGCCGTAAAGAGCTTGGGACGCTGGACCTTGCTTTTGATTCTTTCCGAAGCAGAAGGTTCGCGTCCGTCCATCTTTGGCCTACTGCGTAGGTCTGATGTAGATTTATGCTCGGAGATGGCTGTAGAGGGATGGTATGACTTGGGTCTCTGCTTTTTGGACAGGTCGCTCGAGGCATCACTTCCGTAACGTCCACTACCCGCGTCGAAGGACGCCTTCCCACGCAGCCCATTACTCCCGAGGTCTTGACTGCAGAACTGTGCGTAGATAGGTGGGGCCGGACCCGGACCCGTCATGTCGGCGCTCGACGTCGAGCTCGGGGGTGTGCGGTTCTCCTTGTCCTTAGCCTGGCGCCGCTCCTCCTCCTCCTTCGTGGTCTTGTTGAGAGACATGGTCGATCGGGGTCGAGACAGGAAGCCCGCCAGGTTCGTGCTCGATTTCGTCTTCTTTGGCTTCTCGGGAGACATGTCGCGTGATTTCCGGGCCTCTTTGGCCAGGGACTTGAAGGACATGTTGCTGAAGGCGGATTTGGTCGGCGAGCGCGATCGGTCTCGGTTGCTGTCTGGTTGCTGTTTGCGGGGCGACGAGTGAGGATTCAGCTCGCCGAGGGCCCCCAAGCCTTCGGTGCGGACGGGAGGAGGGGGCGGCATCCTGCCCTCGAGCTGTGCGTAGGCGGCCGAGATGTGTTGTGCGGGCGTGGTGGTGACCTGGACGGAGGGCGGCGAGGTGAAGAGCGCAGAGCCCTCGGACTGGTTACGGCGGTGGATGAAGCTCTTGAGGACCGAGGACCTGGGGCGGCTTCTTCCATTGTTATCTCCTTCGGCGGCGGAGCCCATTGTCGACGAGGGAAATGGGGGCGGGAAACAACAGTTCGAGACAGGGTTCTTGCTGGTATGGATGGATGAAAACAATGCTTCCCCCCCTTCGTGTGGAATGCTGGGCGGAAACTGAAGCTTGCTTGAAGAAGAAGAAGAAGAGACAACCAAAATAACGGGGTGTGATGTAATTCCAATGCTTTGTGGATGAATAAAGGCGAGAGAGAATCCCGACAGCTTTGCGGAATTGTTTCTCTTGCTGCTCACACCATGTTTGGGGAAATGGGCAACGACAAAAAAATCAAAAGAGGCAAATGCAAGCTGGGAGGGGAGATGGCTCAAAGCCAGACTACGTCCCGAGATTGCAATTGTTTTTCTGTTTCTGGTCGTTGTGCAATAAGAAAGATTGATTGGGGGGATTGGGACGGGACTGGATGGGACTGGATGGGACTGGATGGGATGGTTCGTGTCGGTGAGCTGAACTGCGGTTGTACTGGGCACGAAGGAGCGGTCGTGGGGATTGTTTACGCTAGCTTTGTTGTCTGGGCGACCATGGCGGGTCTGTTCCCCGTTGCGCTGCTTCCTTCGTATCTTATCGCGCCAGCCTAACGCGCCTGCAGCTCGGGGAGGGGGGGGGGGGGGGGGGTCTGGTGTTTTTTCCTGGAGGATGCGGGGCGGGGCGGTACAAGTGGAGCCCCACGCCGGTCGACTCTGTCATTGTGCGGAGTCTCGGTTTGCAGTGCAACGGTCAAATTATGCACCCTTCCAACGCAATGTCATAGATAGCTCTTTCAAACCCATCTAAATCACGTCTCGCAAGATTCATGATGTAAATGGATCTGATCTTGGCACTCATCGCATTGCAAAGTTCAAACCCTTTCGTCTATTGCAAGCTCTTGTCTACCAAAATACCGTCTGCCGGTCTTCCTCTATGTACCGTATCCTCCAACGCCCCCAGACCTGTATCCCATTGGCCCTGATCATGATCCCCCCAGGTAGTATGCGCCCAAAGTCGCTTCTAAGAATGAAACAAAACAACAAAAAGAGACCGAAAACGGCTCACCAACTCATTATCCCCTTGGCCCTATCAAATCCACCCCTCAACTGCGTCTCAGGCTTCACAACCTTGCCCTGCAATATAGTATACTTAACCAAATTCTCACAATCCTCAGGCTTGATCCGCGCAAGCCAAATACACTGCGCAGCGCCCACATCCTCCGTCTCCGGCACCACCGTCTTGGCCTTGGGCACCATGTGCTCGCCGCCCTCTGTCACGCGCTCGACATCATCCAGCCCAAAGGCGTCGGGCCGGCGGTACACCATCACATTAGCACTGTACTTGTGCCCGCCGACGTGCGAGATGAAGTAAATCCCCACCCCGCCGGGCCTCTCGTCGTCCATGTCGCGAAACAGACCCAGGGGCCGCAAGTGGCGCTCCAGCTCCTTGCGCAGCAAAGGGGCGGACTGGCCGCAGCGGGCGTCGCGCGTCTTTTGCGAGCAGAGGAGGATCAGCGCGCTGTGCGGGCATGGGCGGCGGGAGATCTCGGGGGGTATGCCGTTGCTCGATGTAGTAGTGGCAGCTGCGGCTGCGCTCGTGTCGGTGCCGTTGTTTGTCAAGGAGGCTACGGGGACGGAGGTCGGGAGGGCGAGCGGCGCGAGCGGGGAGATGTTTGTCGGGGCCTTGTCTACGAATTCGGTGATGAGCTCGGGGACCCTTTTGGGTGTGACGTGGTCGATGATCACAAAGGCCGGGAGGAGGAGGACTGTCGTGGGTTCGGTGTAGTCGCTCGAGTGGTTCGGGGTCGGGATGTTGGAGGCCGAGAGCATCAGTTTCTGTGTGTGTTGATATCAGGTCAGCCATACAAGCTTGAATCTCGCTTCTTGTTCTTTCCAAAGTTTTCTTACCCCGTTACTCGGCGCCGCAGCCTTGCCAATCGCCTCCATCACACTCCCCTTCTCGTCCGCCACGTCCCGCACCCAATCGCTCTTCCCCGTCGCGACGAGCGCGTGCGTGCTCCATCCCTTGACCATGCCGTACAGCTCGTCGCCCTCGTCAATCTTGAAGCCCTTGGGGTACTTGACGTGGCAGCTCTCGCAATCGTGCTCGCAATCCTCGCCGTCGACGGCCGGGTCGGTCTTGGGGAACAGCTCGAGGACCGGGACGCCTTTGGCGGTTCCCAGGGCGAACTTTTTGGCGCCTGAGACGAAGGACTTGAATGCGGACGTCATGGTTGTCGTTTTATTCTTTGCTTTCTAAAACTAAGCAAAGCGATTGTGGGAAAGCAAGGGAAGTAGAAATTGCGCACTCTCCTACTCCGTAACAGAAAGATGGAAAAGAATGTAGACAGTAATAGCTTTGGAGGGGAAGTTTGTATGGAGTGGAGGGGCAGAGTCTACACTAAAGGGCTGAAGACCGGGTCGGAAAGAGCACACGGAGTCGTTCGGCCCACCCGTCGGAAAGGTGGCGGGATGTGGGGTATTTGGGGGTTGGCTCCTTTTTTTTTTCTTTCTCGGACCTAGATAATGGCGTGGGAAACAATAACGAGGTGGACAAGAATTGAGACCGTTTGAAGGGGGGAAAAGGTGGGATAAAGGAACACTTAACCGGCGACCGCAAGCTCCGTGGGCCGGACTGAACCAATACACTCTCTTGTCAAAAAAAAAACCCAAAACCCAAAACCCCCCCCAAATGGTCAAGCTGACCAACAAGACACCAGTCCTTTGCTGGAGAGTTATATCCCCCAGTCCCAGTCCTAGTCCCAGTCCCGCGCGCGTCCTTATTAATGCAAATTGTAACCCCCCGAAAGGGAGCACACATGGAATGGGCATTGGGCGCAATAACTACTACCAAGCTCCAAATGGGCTCGTATCACCGAGGAGCCCCTCGCTCGGCCCTGCTAGAGTCACAGATCCGCGGACAATATATCTGAAAACTCCGGCGGCGGCACGGAATAGCCGATTCGAAAAAAAGCCACGCGTGCGAGTTTGTCTCGAACACCTAGCGTCACCGTGGAGGGGAGGGAGGGACCTTTTGAATTATCAGATCCTGCAGGCCTGCCACACACCCACCCAATGCGCCAACTGTATTCCTACAGTCCACTCCCGTGCCTTACTCCGTACCGGCCGGGCGGAGATAAGATACTCGGTGCTCGAATTCCAATCGCCGTAATTGGCTGCGCATTTGCCCCAGTCCCGCGAATCCACTCCAACGTCCAAACGTTCGGATGAAGCATGATGTCTGCACTACCGAGTACCGTGGGTAAGTAAGGTAGTTAATGTACATTCACACAATAATTGCGCCGGCGCTGATTCGCAAAACAAAAATGGGAATCCATGTTTAAAGTATTAAAACGCTGTCTATACGTAGGGAGTAAGTAATTCTTGATTTGAATCACCTTGCGCCCAACCCGTCTCCACAACTTCAACTCTCGCTTTCTCTTTCAAAGCCTTACATATATAAGCTTTATGTGTGTATGTGTGACATCATGTGTTCTTCTTACGCGCCTCGTTGTACTCCTCATCCTCGCTCTCGTCCGCGCCGAGCTCCATCCTGTGATCTCCACTCTTTCTCCGGCGAAGCTTCATGGCCTCGCGAATCTTCTTGCTAGCTTCGTCAAAACCACCGGCAGAGTCCAGAGTCGTGAACCCGCTGATGTGGAACCCGCCGGACCCGAGGCCGCCTCCGCTGCTGCTGCTCCGACTCCTCGACCGGGAAGGTGGTCGTGTAGAGAAGATGCCGACGCCACCAATGTTGCTGTACGATTCGTTGCGGGGCATGGCACGGCTCGACTGCTGGGTGGCCCTTCTAGAAATGGGTGGCGGCGTCGCGGCATCGTAGGCGCTGGATGCGTCGCTATCGCGGCGCGCCGGTGGTGTGCGCGGTCGGGAGTATCCGTCGGCCTTGTACGGGTCTGCCACCAGGCGGGTCTTTTCAAAGTCGGGGAACATCTCGGGCCCAAGGGTGTTGATAAGATCCGTAACTTGGGAGCTAAGGTCTACGCGCTTCGCACGCAGCTGCTGGATGTTGTAGCTTGAGGCAGGGTTCAGACAGAGGACCAAAGGCCTCAGGGACTTGAAGATGTCCATTCCGACTTCGCCAAATCGAAGTGCGGCAAACGTGATACCCACCATGAGGGGCCACATGACCAGGTATGTCGTCCACCACGGCACCCATTCAGGGACGTAGCCCCAAAGGTGGTCCTGCCAGACCTTGTAGGTGACGACGGCCGAGTAAAAGTGATACAGAGTCGGGGCGAGGAAGATGGCGACCAGAAGCTTCCACGTAGCCATAACGTCGCGCCCCTGAACCTTCACTGTCGAGCCAGCCAAAGCCTGCTTCGCCTTACGAACGCTAATGGCCTTGGATGCGGCGAAAACAGGGGCGAAGAGAATGAGACCGGGCAGCACACCAATAAGAAGAACAAGGAGCTTGGCAACGCGGTAGAATAGCAGGAAGATGACCTTGGGGATGGACATCTTGCCGTACTGGACCTGGTGGTCGCGAAGGTTGACGTAGCGCAGCTCCTTGTTGTACTGCTTGACAGACTTAATCACATGGACGACCCGTGCGTCATCCTTGTACTTTTCGTAGCCCATGGCGAGTCTGCGGTTCAGCTCAATGACGACAGGCAGAGGCAGCTTCTTCCCGGTGGGGTTGTACAGACGTCGAGCGGCTTGAAGCATCATCAGGGTATCGTAGTCGGGGGTAGAGACGGTGACAGCGCTCAGAGCCTGGTACACACTGTCGAGGAGCTGGCCGATGGCCTCGCGTCTTTGATTGTTCTTGTACATCTCGACCAAGTGCCGGGGGACTTCGAAGGGAGGACCAAACTCGACGACGGCGCGACTGCGGAACTTGTGGGCGTGGAAGTAGTTCATGCCAACGGGTACGATCGTCAAACCACAGTCAGGGGATTCGGCGAGGGCACCGAGTGCCATGATGGCAACGCCGGCCTTCAGGGGAAGTAGTTCGGTGCGGTCGTGGCTACCTCCCTCGGGGAAGATGCCTACGCAGCCACCTGACCTCAAACGATCAAAGACAGCCTCGTACACCTTGGTCTGATCGATGTGCGGAGCGAGCTTGTACTTGGTTCCTTTGAAGCCGGGACTGCATCCCTTGAGATCCTTGTTGGTGTAGTTGCCATTCTCGTCAATGTCATCGCGCCCGGTAAGCTGCTCGAGCGGCAGCTTGCCCTTGAATGGGCGCTTTATGCGGATTTCCTCGGGTCCAATGATCTGCGCAATATCGATGCTGGCGCCGGTCTGCTTTTTGGCAGAGGGCAAGAACAGCATACCGTGTACCTCGCCCTCTCCTTGACCAAATTTGGTGCCAACGCCGCGGATAAGTGTGGGATCGTTGATGGGGTCGGGCAGATAGATCACGCCGGCGCCGGGCTTGGCAGCATCTTGGGCGCGCCCGACGGGGACGGAGCCGACCTGACGCGAACCCCAGCCGATGAAGCCATGGACAGACTTTTGCGCGATGAGGAGGGAGACTCGACGGCCGGCCTCGTGCCGGAGGGTGCGTTGGAGGATGAGAGCATCGACAAACTGTGCAGAGATTGCGGCGTTAGCATGTGATAGTGACAGGGGGTTGCTTCGACAAGGGGGGGAAGAGAAAAAAGAGTAACTGACCTGGTTGGCATGAGGAGCGGCGACGAAGAGAACAGGTCCCGACTTGGGGACTTTCCAGGAGCCACGAGGGTGAACCTCGCGGAAGAAGAGGTCGACCAATACGCCCAAGACCCAGAGGAAGAGGTCATACTTCCAGTTGACCATGGGGTATAGCTCCTTGGGAGGGGTCGGGTTTGAACCGCTCTGGGGCGGCGCGGCGGCCGCCGTTCCAGCGTGGTCTGGCATGGCGACGAGACTCGGTATGTGATGTCAGAGGAGAAAGAAGTGTTCGGAGGGGTGTTGTGAGAAACGTCTCTTGGTGAAAATCTCGCCAACTATTGCGCCACTCCCTTAGACTTTCATTCTCGGTGGTGTGTGGTGTGGAACCTTCGGGTGCAGCAGGGCGGCAGTAGCGATAAGAGGGCTACCTTGGGCGGAGCTTCGGATTCGTGCGCTGGCCTTCACGAGTTGCCAGATATGTTTGGTGATGGGAGGAAGCGAACGACAGAGCAACGCTTAAATTAACAATGGTAAGGCGCGCCTCGTTGGTGGTGGTGCGACTGGCGACGCAGTGTGGGAGAAGAAAGTAGCTGACAATGACTGTGAGGTGACCAAAAATTGGGAGGGATGTATTTCTGGAGAGCCCGGGCGAAAGAGAGCAGGGGAAAGGGAATGCGCCTGTGGAGGCCGGGGGGTGGGGGGGGTCCCACTATGTCGGCCAAGCCCGCGATATCATCCAGTCTTCTCCCCAGACGCCCCTCTTCTTTTCTTTCACGTCTCCTTTCTTCCGTGTACTTCAGTCTACCATCTGCTTCTCTGCAACCGGCCAAGGGGACACAAAGCATATACTTGCAGCAGTGTAGGTACGATCTGCCAGCCGCGGTTCGAAGGAGTATGGAGAGCGCGCGCAGTTCCACTTGATATCCGTGCAAAGATTAGATCGTTAGGTTTTGTTTTATTCAGCGCCAGAATGCGGGGGAGCTGAACTGCAGACAACCGCCTACTAAAGAAGCTCAGGGCATAGAGTGGCACAAGACCTGGCAGGATGAAGAAGAAAAAAAAGAAGCTGGGACGCTACGTCAGGAGAGGCGAATTTGGAGTAAACGGGCCAGCTAATTATTCCTCCTCTCTGCCGTACCTCGAAGCGACCTGACCCCTCACCTCAACCGGTTTGCTCTCCTGCATTTTGTTGGGAAACGTCGCAGACCTCATGACGGAGGAGGGGGCATGTTCAACAACTCGTGCTTTCACTTCCCGAAAAAGGTAACTTTTCCCATCGCATCTTATCAATCAGGTTCCTTGGGATCAACTTCCGTATGTCCGTTCAGGAAAGCCGGCCTCGGCTGTGGTCAACCTCGGGGAAGAGCTTGCGATTCCGTCTTAACACCGTCGTCTGCCGTAGCCCCTCCCCGCCGTGGCCGGGGAAGTTCAACGGTTCTGCAGCTGTCGTCTGTCTGTTTGTCCGTACCTTGCCGTGCTTGTGTCCGTTGTCTGAGCCGCTTTGTCTCCTGCGCGCTGCAATGTGCACTTTGCAGCTCGTTCGGCGCTAGAACCTGCATCAGTGCTGAAGATGCCGCGAGGTCACGAATACGTCAGAGCTGTGCTTACATGGTCCAAGGTGCCTAGAGCAGATCGCGTGCGGCTAACAGCCAACTGGCGTCGCATTCAGACCGGGGGGTGGGGTCCTTGGAGTTTAAGGCTGAGACGGTCCTAGTAGACGTTCCCCTTCTTAGTCGTCAACCACTAATAAAGAGGCGAGGTCATGAAAACCATGTTGTGATTCGCATTTACACTCATGTCAGAGCCTCACCTCTCTCACTCTGGAAGTACCTCAGAATGATAAGACTATTTGCAAAGATGAATGTTGGAGAAATGGGTACCTTACTATGAGAAAGATGCAGCCGCTGCAAATAGGTATCTCATCCAGGCCAAGGGGTGTAATTGTACATGACAAACTCGGAGTGTAGAATACTTTGATACATCGATGAGCAATCCATCCGCCCAGGCTACGTAGAAGTTGATGTTTGAGTCGGAGAGAGTCGGAGAGAGTCGGAGAGAGTCGGTTTCATCTTAT